GAATCTGAGATCCAAACCACAAGGGGGTCAAGTCATCAAAAGGCCCTTGGCCAAATCGAAGCCTCGGGTGCGGTTGGAGCGCACGCTGGTGCCATGCCTCAAATCTAAAGTTGTTGTAAAATGACACAGGGTCATTGAATTCCCATCTGATCTGAGCTACTGGTATGGTTTAACATGCTCAACGTACATGCGGGTCACAGTCGCACTTGTACCTGGTAGCGGCCCTTGTGCACTGGCCCCTATTAAGACTATCGAAGCAAACATCCGCTAACATCAACGATTAAAACCCGATTATATAAATATTGTTATATATCGGTTATGGATACCAGTGCTGTTCTGGGCACTTTGTTCACAGGACTATTTGAGAAGTGTCAAAATAGATGATGCAGACAGCTGTTGTCAGAGCCCTTTCAAGGCCAGGCAGAAGACATGACGATTGAAGGGCTATCCACCTACTAACAAGAAGACTTAGTACACTAGGGACTCCCAAGAGCAACCCCGCCAACTTCTTGTGAGACTGTTCTTCATTGTTTTGCTGATAGAATTATGGATTTCGTTTTGACGCTGATAGTGTTTGTTTGCATGCAGACAGGCATGCAAAACACCTACAGCCCAGTTGCCCTCTGGCCCAAGATCCCAAATGAAATCAACGCCGATGAGGACACCGGGCTGAGGTCCGCACGAGCCAAAGAAGGTGTTTGATGAGGTGTAAACGTTCATGCCAATCTGCAGCTTCGCAGGCGGAATTTCAAGGTGACAAGATTTTTTCTTGAAGGCTGATAAATCCGGAATAGAAACCAAACATGGTGCCAAACATGTGCTTTTGTCACCACAATTTCGAAGTGGGATGGGAACTTGCCATCAGGTTTCGAGGTTTCAACTCCAACCAAGCATGTGGCTTTGCCCCGAGGATGGGGTTAGCCTTCCCAAAATTATCAAAATACCCTCTGGTAATTTAACATAGCTATGGAAAATCACTATTTTTAATGGGAAAATCCACTATAAATGGCCATTTTCAATAGCTATGTTAAATTACCAGAGGGTAATGGGAACATCATGCCCTACCGGCCCTCAGACTTGGTGGTGCCCAAAAAACTCCCAAAAAAAGGCGCTGGAGAGTCCAGACGAGGTTGTACACAATGGCTGTGTTCACAAGTGTGGCAAAGAAGAGGTTGAACCTCAATGGGCCCATGGGCTGCTTTAAGGGAATGGTTTAAGGGAAGCTCATGTAAGGGGATGTTGAACATCAGAAATGGGGGAAACCCCGCGAATTTCCCTTTCATCCACTTCCGCGATTTGGAACAATGAATACAGTCATTTCCCATGTCAGCAAACACCCTTGCATTGGAGGTCCCCAAATTCGAATCTGGAGGATTGATCATGACCAGCACACACCTAAATTGGGAGATTTCTTCAGATGCGCTGCATCCTCCAATAGCCTAAGGCCCTAAGGTCTCGGACACTTGACTGGATGCCAAATCCGTGGCGGTTTGGTACCGTCCGAGGCTGTCAAAGTACCTGCCAGGCTGGAGGCGTAAATGATCCCAATTACCCTCCGATTCCCTCTGATCAACTCGGTCAACGAACGGTTTGCTATGATATATTTATGCCATGGTCCATAGTTTGATGATTTACGTATTAAACTATATTAAACTGGTGTTTTTCATATGCAGTGTTGCATTACCAGAGGGTAGAACGTGGAAATGTGGCTGAAAGCAACAACCAGCTGTTCCCGCTGGTCCAATGATTGCGTAAGTATTGTCCATTGACAATATCCATATTAAATCTGTATCCATACTGAATCTGAATCTATATCAACATTGCATATATTGCATATAGAGAGAATCCTTGAATAGTCCATTCAACAAGGGGTGCTGCTCATGTCTACCCCCAGATAATGCACTGGAGCTTGAACTTGTCAACCCCCGAGATCCACCATTTAACGGAACATGTTGACAGTGAATGACAGGGACCCTCTGTCTGTTTCGCTTGGATTCTACTGGAAGAAATCAGCGAAAAATGTCTTTGTCTGAAATTCGGGCATCCACTGGTCATCATTTTCCCCATTTTTCCCCTGAAAAATGTCGGAAATGGGCACGCAAAGATCAGCAGCAAAACGTTGTTGATGACCATCACGGCTATGACCTCAGGGCATCTATATGACATTAGAGGCATTCCATCAATCGGTGGATCTCTGGGGGATACCTCAAAATAATCTATGGTTGATCTATGGTTAATCTATGGCTAATGGAAACTTGATCATCAACCATCACATTTCAGAAAATTGCTTATCATTTTCAGACAATCTCTGGTCAGTTTCAGTCGCAATCATCCATTCTTTCGCGGTGCCACTTCATATCTTCGGTACATTACCAACTCTGTAGATCTCTGTAGAGCTCATGTCATCCCATCCCAGAAATCATTGCAACCGTCTTGAAAATAAGGAGTGAACTGCATGTTACTACCCTCCAGTACACGAACATAGCTATGGAAAACGGAACATCTTATAGATGATTTAACTATTGAAAATGTTGATTTCCATAGCTATGCAAGTTTACCAGAAGGCACCCCATCGTTCACTCCGCCCAAAACAAACAGATGAAACCGGCCATGCTCGATCTCTCCACCGACGATGCTGTATCCCTCGCTTCAAAGTTTAGTTCCATTCTACAAAACCGGCCATGCTTGATGGTTTCCACAATACCAACATATGCATATATATGGGTATGATGGTATGACTCAAGAATGGTAAAGAAATAGACCCACGAAAATGGGACTGTGTTGAGTACTCAACCATCCATTGTGGGCAATCATGGTGGCTCACAACTACATGTTTGGTCAAATCCTTACTTTCCATTCCTATTTTGTTGGTCAATGTTAATATCATTTAATGTACCCTTCTTTGGTGGCTCAAAATTGAGGTAACCCAACAATCCATCTTAGTTTCCCTCTTAAAAGGGATGACTCAGATGCTTTGGGCTTCTCCCATTGAAATCCATATGTTTTCCGGCGAAGATCTACAAAGCCTAAGCCACCCACACCACCAGCGCGAATGCCCATCTGGCCGGAGCCCGGTTTTTTTCATTCTCCCCGCCCCAAAAAAAAAACAGGCCAGAAACCAGGCCAAAACTCATCGTTGCCCTCCGGTAATCAAACATGGCAGCGGAAATTCCCTTATAAATAGTGGTTTCTATGGAAAAATCATCCAGAAATAGGGGATTTTCCAGCAAGCGATGCTTGATCACAGGAGAGTAAAGTTTAGAGGTGCTACATTTTTGGCCAAGATTTCCGATACAATATCTGGACGTAGACGTAGCCGGTTTGAAGCGCTGTCATGGGGTAGTTGCTCGATACCTGGTCCTGAATGCTTTCCATATCAAACCTATTGATATGTTTACAATGAGTTCTTTTCCAACATCACCCTCACATGCAGCAAGACACACACAGGGTTCAGTTCATCCTTTTCCATCAAATCAATGTCAAGAAATCATGAAACCGAGCAACCAGCAAACACATGTAACTATATATATAATTCCTGTTTCCCATCATGTAAATGTTGGTGAATATCCATCATATCTACATATTCCATATATTCAGGATATCCCCCTTTATATATATATATATATCCCCCATATATCCTATATATATATATTATATATATATATCCCTAATATAGACAGTACCAGTATAATTCCATTTTTCTTGCTGATTCCCCGATGTCAACACTCCAAAAAAACACCACCTGGTGGCCAGTTTTTCATGGCCTGTGTGCCCTGGTACCACGCCCAGTCTCGGCACATCTGCGATGGCAAGGCTGGGGCCCCTGGGATCCCTGGGATCCCTGGGAGCCCTGGGATCCCTGGGATTTAAGCCAACATTTATGGTTAGTAATGGCAATATGGGATCTGAATGATTATTGATGGTTCTTGATGCCAAATTTTTCATGGTGTTTAAAGGTTATTAATGATTATTAAAATATATTAAAATACCATATGGGGGTTTCCTAAAGTGGAAGTACACCAATAGCTGGATGGTTTATTTCATGGAACATCAGAAAACAAATGACTGATTCGGGGATACCCCCATTTTAGGACACCACGATATGGCTATGAGTCAAAACCCTTGCACCCGGATGGTACCCAAAGTCATAGCTGGTTAATGGATGCTTATTCCTCCCAATATTGTAATAGTAGGTTTTGACCCATCCCCATATCATGGGATTTACACACACAATAGTTGGGAATTCACCAACTATATTTGACCGACTGTAAACGGGATGTACCCGTCAGTAGATCAACATAGACCCTGCCAAACAGGGGCTTGAAAGATAAGATTCCACTTAAAATGACTGTAGGATACTGGAGGCTGTTTTCGGGGTCTATGTAATGTCCCGGAGAGGGTAGCCCAACAAACAACAATTTAACAACAATTTGATAGAATTGGGATCTAAGGAACTAAGAATGAGACTTTGACCGACTACAATGGGGATATAATCGGATGTTAATGGGATATATCAATATGATCACTCGGAAATTTGATATTTGGCTGTGTCCTAAATGGCAATTTCAGTGGAGTGTTCTTGGGGTAAATCATGACAACCAAGTGAATTTGAGATAATTTGAGGCTACTATATTTTCAGACAAAACAACCTGGCAGCGGGAATTCCTATTGAATCAGCATGAATCATCCCTGATTCGGCAGGGAACGACCTGGTCTTCCTTCAAGGACCGGCATTTTCCAATGGAATTTCGGGTGGATCAATGTCGTGGGAGCCATTCACCATATTGTCAGGTGCTGATATGCATCAATGATAGATCCAAAGATGAGCTGTGTCATATCCCAAATAAATACGGTTTCATTTCATGTAATTCCTCAGATTGATGGTTTCAACCTTGAAAGAATACGAGTGATTTGGGAGTATCATCCCATATCCTCCCAGGCAAGATGCAGCTAGTCGTGGTTCTAAAGTGCTGCTCCTACCTCTCCCAACATTTATTGCGTCACCCAGAAACCGCCTCGGCTTCGGGCGTTTCCACAAGTCCTGACGCAGAAAACCCGGGTCAGGTCTCTGCACCGCGGCACCCAAGCCCGCCCCGCCAGGCCCGAACACTATGCCAAATAAACTATCAGAATGCCAGACAAAATGCCAGATAGAATGTCAGATAGGATTTCAAATAGAACTTCATTTAAACTTTAGAACGTCAAATAAAGTGTCAGATAGAATGCCGCATAGAATGTTAGATAGAGTGCCAGATAGAATGTCGGAAAACATGTCAGCGCAAATGTCAGAATATTTCTCAGAATTGATGTAAGATTGATTTTCAGTTGCTTTTGATCACTCCCGGATGGGTATGGGTATGGCGAGAGCCTCTGGTCCAGCCGGAGCTATGATAACACTCCTAAAAAAAAAGCCTATTTTATTTGGTCTCTTTAGATGACCAAATGAACACATGAAGTTTTGGTGCCTGGGAAAGGGAACTTGCCATTGCACCAGAATTCTTCAGTCAACATTTATCAATCTGTTCAACAAGGGGTCTTATATAGTTCAATAGTATCTCCAAATAATATCAACCATTTCAATATCAACCATTAACCATTCTTCTGAAAGAAGCCATGCTTGAGATCCCTCGTTCCATCATCTAGATTCCCTCCCCACTTGTACTGTTTAGAGTACTTGACACGGTTCCAGATTGTCCGAGATTGGAGTACTATGCTTCTGCAAATGCCCGGCACTTTGGATCCAAATACACATGTGGAAATCCCAAGTACTACCACAACAAAACACACACATTGAAAAACCACGCCACAGATCATCAACTGAAATACTGCCAAAGAACGTCTTTTTGCTTCCTATAAGCTTCCCATTCAGAAAGTCCGATAGTTCCTATAGATTCAGCGGATGACCCCTGAGGCGCCTGGAAAACGAATCCTGGGTTCTTTGTTGGCCTGTTGCACGCAGAAGCACGACAGCCTGCCATGGGATCCGGTGGGATGGCGGATCAACTCATGAGTGGAGGGTCACGTCAGCACCACAAGCAGAAAAACAACAACAATAATCAGCATCAGCATCATCATCATCATCATCAACATCATCATCATCATCATCAACATCATCATCATCATCATCAACATCATCATCCAGCACTACAGTAGTTCTCAGTAGTTCTCAGTAGTTCATACTAGTTCTATCATTGATCACTCTATATACTAAAAGTACTGGAAGTACTACTATAATACTATAATCTTCATCACCATCACCATCACACTACGAACAAGAACCAACCTGATTTTCCCGAGCGCCTCGGGGACGTCATAAAACTCTCCCCAAGGTCTTTGGCCCTTTGGGCAGCCTGTTCTTTGCGCGACTTGAACTCCCCCCCCTTTTGTCCATGTTTGCCGAGGACGCAATAAACATAATGAACCCATCCGTGTGTCAATAGAATGAACTTGTTTGGAGTTGGTTCAAACATGTTCGAATGATTTATCAAAAGTAGTCAAATTCAAAATAGCCTATCATGTGTAGTATCTCGAATTGAAATGAAGTCAATGCTTTTCTTGATACCAGCCACCAGTGGAAGGACCCTCTACTTGTGTTTCTCGTCTCTTCAATTCCATTTCACCAGCACCGTCTTCTTTCTTGGATCTGGCAGTGTCTTCGTCAAACACCTAGTTTTTGCTTCTTTTATCCCAACACACTCAGTTTCATGGGTTAACCATTTCCCGTTGTTGATGGGTTATGATGGGTTGATTTCTTTACTTTGTGGGTTTTGGTGAACCCCCTGTTGTCTGGCTGAAGATATTTCCAAGTTCCACGCTTCGAGGGTGATAGGAAACAAGCCTCGGCTTGGCGGTGGCGAGCCCCAAGCTCCTGGAAAGTCATGTTGGATCATCATCCCAATTTGGGTGAACAAATCATATATATATATATCTTTATGTGGTCAGCGCCCTTATCCTCAATATGGGGGTTCTGGGGGGGGCGGTGACCATATAGCTCATATGTATGTACTGTATATATATATATGAAGAATGATACTTGAATACGTGAAACCACCAACGAGTTTCAGATTTAGGCCAAAAGACGTCTGGCCAACAAAAGACGGGATTTATAGGAACTGATTGATTTGGCATTCAGAGTATGGTGGATTCAGCTCCCACCTAAAACCAACATGGAAAAATCACCAATGGGTAGCCCCAAAATCTAGTGGTTTAAACCATCATTTTCTCCCACAACAATTGCTACGACCAGTAGTTATGACGGGGGAACTTTTCGGATAAATTCCACATTTCTGGACAAATCCATGATGTGTTTATCTCTATTTCTCTTGATGAATCCCCTTGAATTCCCATATTTTCGCTACAACAAAAACAGTGAAAGAATCCCCGAAGACCCAACTTCTTCTTGGCTGTATCCCATTCAGTGCCACCATAACAACATATCGCCACATGGTTGCTTAACATCTAATATACTGTATAGGTTTAAATCATTTTGAATCCATGAAATGATCTCCATAAACCGGCTACTCAAACTGCTTGCCATTCCCTCAAGACACAAGGAGCCCATGAGTTTGGGGGTTGGAAGACAACTCTTTCCTCTAAACACATCTAAACACTGGGTATTCTCAAGCTCAAACTGTTGGGGGATGGTAAAACATTGGTAGATCCCCAGCAAACAGCTCAGCTTTTTCCAAGAGGCAATCGCTACGTAACTTGACTGGCTGAGGACCTGGATGTGTTTTTGTTAGGGGCAGAGAACCTACTTAAAGCATGGGAAAGGACGCATGAACAATTGTACAGCTATTCATTGATGTATCGTGATTCGTGATTTATCTACTTATATAAACTCTATGTATCTATCTAATCGCCGTTTCATTGATTGTTTTGATAGATTTGATGGTATAATTTGATTGGTTTGACATGGTTTGACTGATTCTAGTTTAATTTGATCCATCCAATCATAAAATTACGAGGAAATCATCATGAAACATAGGGATTCAACATGATTCAACCGTGTCACGGGGAGATCGAGACATGGGATGCAAACATAGGAATGTGAGAAACCCTCAAGAAGATGAAGCCCAAAAATGGATTTTATCTGTGGAACATCTCCCAAGATGGGTCTCAAACGCTTCTAAATGAGGAAGCAGCACTTGGCGAATTAGCCCATTTCGCCAGGTCCATCCCTCCCTTTTTTCCAACATCGTCGATGCAAGAATGGCAGAAATAATATCCCCGTCATAGCAATGTGGCCCAAAACAACGAGGCACATTTTTAGCAACAAAACTGGTTACGTTTTATCAGATGCTGGCCCATTTTGGGGTGACTTCCTTGATGTTTGTTGATTCTGTTCCCCAGTGTTTGCTTGGTCTTACAGTCCTCCCCTGTTTTCAACTATGGGGCTCCCCAAAAGCAAGAAAACCGAAGCCCAACTATTTCCATGGTCCTTTATTTGTCTTTTCTACATTGGGAATCGCAATAAATCCAATAAACAATCCTTTCCCGATGGCCCAGATTTCTTCTTCAAGCTCCAATCATCTCCAGGCTGAGGCACTGTCATATCCTTCCAAAATCGCGTCATCGAAGCGCACACAATATGTCTCCCTGTCCCATCTCTCACCCTGCTGGTCAAAGAAGCCACTACCTCGAAGGCAGTGAACTGGAACCAGAGTAACTTAAGTACCCAGACACCTGGCAAAAAATCAGGGATGCCAACAAGAAAGTGGCTGTGCTGTGGTTACACAAAAAGTTCAATGTCTTAGTCTCGGGGTTGGGTCTAACATGGTTCCACCGCAGCTCCGCGTTGCGTTGCCAAGCGACTGTTGGACACCAAGGTGTTGGACGGACACCTGGGCGATGGCAACGCGTGGCCTGTGGATACCCTGCCAGCTGGTTGGTAAATATCACCGCCTGGATGGCAAGAGATTAAAGATGATTACTGGTTGGTGGTTTTGACCATCTTGAAAAATATTAGTCAATGGGAAGGATTATCCCATATATTATGGACAAATAAACAATGTTCCAAACCACCAACCAGATTATGTGGTATGAGAGTACCCATCCAAGCTTTCCCGCTGGAACCCCAAGACAAGAACGATATGACTGAGACCGAAGTTGAAATCAGGAGCCACAAGGAATCAAGAGCTTCTGAAGTCCTAAAGATTAACTCTAAACTCTAAAAGCACGCTGAGGATAGGTCGTGTGAACACACAACGCAAATCATTCTGAGCCTATCCTTATCCAACTGAAGACGAAGATCATGACTCCAACCAGCCATGAAAAATCGACAAGCAACCCGTAGATCCTCATTGGTGCGGGCTTTTGACCGCTCGGTCCTTTTCGGTTTGCCACCTTGATGCACAAGACCTCAGGTCCAAAGGTGACAAGTGGTATTTCCACCCAGTGCAGGTTCGGAAAAGTCACAAAATTGGTGGTCTTAGGGTAGTCAACCCTTGATTAACCAACATGAACCACTATACGTTAGGGGTTGCCTCTAACACTAACTTGGGTACTCTCTTTATATGCTGTACCCCAGGTAGTGCACATGTACCTTGTACATTTAAAACACCCCTTAGATGTTACTAAAAACACCCCTTAGATGTCGCTAAAAACACCCCTTAGTATGTCCAAAAACACCTCTTATTGTGTCCCAAAAACGCCCCTTAGATGTTGCTAAAAACACCCCTTATATAGATGTCGCTAAAAACACCCCTTAGTATGTCCAAAAACACCTCTTATTGTGTCCCAAAAACGCCCCTTAGATGTTGCTAAAAACACCCCTTATATAGATGTCGCTAAAAACACCCCTTAGTATGTCCAAAAACACCTCTTATTGTGTCCCAAAAACGCCCCTTAGATGTTGCTAAAAACACCCCTTATATAGATGTCGCTAAAAACACCCCTTAGTATGTCCAAAAACACCTCTTATTGTGTCCCAAAAACACCCCTTAGATGTTGCTAAAAACACCCCTTATATAGATGTCGCTAAAAACACCCCTTAGTATGTCCAAAAACACCCCTTAGATGTTGCTAAAAACACCCCTTAGATGTCGCTAAAAACACCCCTTAATATGTCCAAAAACACCTCTTAGTGTGTCCCAAAAACACCCCTTAGATGTTGCTAAAAACACCCCTTAGTATGTCCAAAAACACCTCTTATTGTGTCCCAAAAACGCCCCTTAGATGTTGCTAAAAACACCCCTTATATAGATGTCGCTAAAAACACCCCTTAGTATGTCCAAAAACACCTCTTATTGTGTCCCAAAAACACCCCTTAGATGTTGCTAAAAACACCCCTTAGATGTCGCTAAAAACACCCCTTAGTATGTCCAAAAACACCTCTTATTGTGTCCCAAAAACACCCCTTAGATGTTGCTAAAAACACCCCTTAGATGTCGCTAAAAACACCCCTTAGTATGTCCAAAAACACCTCTTATTGTGTCCCAAAAACACCCCTTAGATGTTGCTAAAAACACCCCTTAGATGTCGCTAAAAACCACCCCTTAGTATGTCCCATGTTGTCAGGAACAAGTTGTTCTTAACTCAAAGAGTTTCCGCTTAGGGTCTCAAAGAAAGCTGTTTTCATTCAGTGTTTCTGATCTAAATCAATGTGAGTGTTAAGCAAAAAACACCCCTTAGCTAAGGGGTGGTTTTCCCAAAAAAGCACCCCTTAGATAAGGGTGTTTTTTGGCAATTTTGGGACCCCAAAGTACACCAAAACCGATTCCTGAAGACATCAGAATTGACAATGTATGTCACAATCCAAGATAGGAATCAAAGATGTTTGACACATGATAATGTCAACAAACGAAAAAAGACTCAAGTTTTGATCAAAGAAGGATTGTTTGTACCTCAAGAATGAGCGATGGATGTTTCTAACCACTTAAGTGGTGTTTTTACCTCAAAAAACACCACTTCACTAAGGGGTGTTTTTGACCACTTAAGGGGTGTTTTTACCTCCAAAACACCACTTGGCTAAGGGGTGTTTTTGACCACTTAAGGGGTGTTTTTACCTCAAAAACACCCCTTAGCTATGACCACTTAAGGGGTGTTTTTACCTCAAAAACACCCCTTAGCTAAGGGGTGTTTTACCATCGCTAAGGGGTTAGTATACCACTACTAAGGGGTTACTATATACCTCGCTAAGGGGTGTTTTTAGGTATAAAGAGTTAGTGTTACAGGAACCCCCTAAACTATACGTATATGAACCATCATGAACCACTATAAAACATCATGAACGACTACGAACCATCATGAACCATCCATTTGTCTCCATCTTGGGGTAGCATTTTTATTGAACACTTGGCTTCACATTCATCAGTGTTGCTCAAGTAACACCTGACTAGCTGGAAATCCAAAGACATGTTGATGTACCATTGCCAACTTGGATTACGAAAATTTGGCTATGGCTTTGTCTGAAGATAGGATACCCCGGGAACCCCCAATTCCAGATGGAGTTGAAAATCACAGTTTGGTCATTTTCCTAATTATATAAAATGGTCATAGCCATCATAGTTTGCCATATAGATTGGGGCCCATTATGCCATTGAAACAGTACCAAACCCATATCGAATTTGGCTCTATCATTGGCAATTGGTGGAACCCCCCGCTGCGAAGCAAGCCTCCTGTGTTTCAGGTTTTCTAACTACCTACCCTCTGGTGATTCAACAGTTTGCTATAGAAAGTGGCCCATTTAGCTCGATGGCTTACCTATTAATGGTGATTGTATGAGTCACACGAATGCTCTTCGCTGCTACTATGGAACCATTCGCTGTATCATTCCATATGTAATGCCATATGTCATATATCATTCTATATATGTAGACTATGTCTGAATAATTCTACTATCCCCAGATATACCATTTCAATCCATTTCTGCCCATTTGTTGATGACACTTCTATCTTTCATAACCTTCGTTGGAGATCCCCGCTTAAGGCCTGCATTTTGCCTGGTAACATATGAGTTAAAATTTAAGACCCAGGGACCCTAGAGTTTTAGTCCATAGATTTTGGGTCATCCTCATAGCTTTCGAGCCAGTCCCAGATTTTCTGAGTCAGATGCCGGGCTTGGTTCTTTGAAGACATACGCCACTCTCGCGCTCTGGTTTTGAGTACAGGATGGTGACCTACAACAGTGCTTGAGTTGTGGACCATACCCTGATCGGCAGGAGTCCATTTATTGGGCAACACCTCATTCTTTATGAAAAGCAACGTCTACTACACTTCTACTGGGCTACAGCCATTCGGAAGCTTTTCGAACAATAGAATTGGGCCACCCCCAAAAGCCCATCATGCTTCGAGCCAGACTGGACACAGGATATAGATCCATTACGATCCATGTATATAGTACATTGGTAAAAAAATGCAAAGTGGTGATGCATTGATTCACCTGCAGTGCATTTATGACCACTCAGAACCAGCCATGTACCGTAGTTTGATCTGACGGTGTGTGGAATAGTCCAAAAGTAGAAAATTAAAACCAACTACATAGAATATAGTAGATACATACACAACAAATCAGGCAGCGTGCTGCACTGCCATTCTTTACTACTACTAATTACTAATTGCACTCCACATAATCAGCATTGCCTGTCAAGTTCAGTACTATATACTATACTTTTACACTGTCCGTCAACGACCGTACGAACATCTCACTCAAATTTTGCTAACAATAAACAGATGAACATCGCATAAAGTGGAGTGGTGCGAAAGATGTACTTCCCCACAGATCGCACACATTTTCCTGGAAAAAAACTATTCCAAATTATTCCCATTAGATTCCCCAGTAAGGGTGGACCTGGGGGCAACATCATCCCATATCCCAATTGGGGAACCACATCTCCATGCAATCGGATGGCACATGATGGAACCACTAAACCTATGTTTTTTTTTTGCCGTGGGATGTTTCTAGTTGGTGGAATCCACACCACAAATCGGGGTAGCTACTAAATATTCTTGTTACCAGTTCATAGAAAGAACTCTCTCTGACATAGTATATATATATATTATACATATATCATATATATATATATCAATAATATATGATAATATGTTCTATTTTATATTCGAATATATATAATAATACATTGTAATACATAATATTAAAAAAAATATATATATCTACATATACAATCTATTAATATACATAATATATGATGATATATTAATACAATATATAATATTTAATAATACATTACACTATATTATATACTAGAATATATATTATTACTAGAATATATTATATATTATAATATATCATGAAATACAATATTTAATAATCTATTATATATTCTAGTATATTATATATTCTAGTATATAATATATGTAATATATGTAATATATAATATATATATTGTAATATATAATATACTGTAATATATAAATATTATGACATATGATATATAATAATAATATATAATATTATATAATAATATGATATAATATGTAATTTATTGTAAAACAAAACCAATAAAAATATCAAATACTATAATACAATATTATAATATATCGTCCCATCATCAAGAGATGTATTTGTTTGATCCAAGCGACTGGTAGAAAGGATCACTTGGATGACACTCCGCATTGTTGTCCTGAAGGAGGTGCCTGCAAACACCAACAGGTGAACCAGCGACAGGAACCTGTCGGTAAATCAGATGCTTGGCTGGGAAAAGCTTCACAAAATGGGATGTCTTAATGGGAAAATCATAGGAAAATATGGAAAGTCCACTATGAATGGAGGTTTTGGTGAGAAAAACATGTATATTCATGGGGGACATGCAATAACATGCCCTGTCATGTTTGCTACAGTATGGAGCCCATTTTGCCATTTTGTTCGATGATTCCCCACCAAAAAAACCTGCTTTTCGAACTGGGGAACTGGGAAATTGCCGGGTAAACTCCGAATTTTCTGGGACAAAGATGGACACAGAACAGGACACGAATCTGTGACTTGGGACTAAGGTTGCTGCACCTCCCACGAATCCATGTGAAATTTCTGGGTGCCAAAACTGCCAGTTTTAAACACGGCCTACCTTGAAGAAACCCATAGCTTCGGGCATAAATAGGTGAGTCTGAACATTAAGGGGAAAACCGTTTAAATCCACTCGTTGATCAGCATTGTCCCCATCAAAACTGACATTTCTTTTTAGGGTATCCACAATTTTCATACATGTTGCGACGGACCCAAATATATCCCAATTTGGGGGATCATGGCTTCTTGTCCGAGCTTAAACCATGCCAAGCTTCCTGGAGTTCAATGATGGCTTCGTCCAAAAGTGAGGAGTTTTGATCCCCAATATCGGCTATCTTAGAGGGAAAGTAATGATAGATCATGACATTTTACAGGGTACAGAACCAGTAACTATTGTTCAGAGTTCAGACAAACTCATATAAGTTGAAGTACTACATTGTAGTATTACGTAACATGTGATCATCATCTGAGCTCTCTTTTCACAGAAAGCATTATCAAGCCAGTGATACTTCCATAGACTCACGAAAACCCCATGGCACTGGGTCATTGATCCCCAATTTCCAAAAATTGGGAGCCAACTTCCATCAGAATTAAGGGAAAATCATCGAGTCTGGCTGCAGGAAACCCTTGGCACATTGGAAACCCTGCTATGCTCAAATCATCTCAAATCTCATTTTTGGGCTGGTATTCCAACATATTCCAACAGGAACCCAAAGCGAGCATAGCATGACGCTGAGGTGTCGGTCGAGGCCTCAGGTAGTAAAGGTGCCCAGAGGCTTCCCCTGTACCCATAGGTTTCTTTAAAAATATCATAGGACTATGGAAATATTGTGAATGCTGGGGCTAAACCATCAGCAATGGTTTTCTAACATGTACCTTGAAACCTAAAACCCTCAAAAATGTCGGTCGCCAGCAAGCAAGCACTTGGTTTTGAGGCTCAAATGATTGCAAAACAGGTCGTTTTCAGACAACCCTACATTTCACCCATTATTGTCAGTTAGGAGCTATTTGTTGAGTGCACATGTGTTTTGTTGCATACCCTTTTAGTATTCGCTGATAGCAGGATCATTGCTCCGGTTCATGTGCACATAGAGGGACGTATCAATGGAACTTTGCCTACTTCCAAGAAAGAAAACTAAGGGTGAAAACGCAGGTCCTTTCCAAAAAGAGCGGTTTAACGAGGTTCTTGGAAACCCGTATTTCTCCCATTAAAAACGAAAACGCATTTGTCCTGTACAAACCCCTCAACCAGATATGGGCCAAAGCCGTCTTGGTAGGCCAATAGTAAAAGTGAGTGAGGTATGGGAGCTGTGTGTGTGTATTTTATCTGTCATGACAGTGTGCAACATTCTTGAACCATATCTAAAAAATGAAAAAACATCCATTTGGAAGACCTGGTTTGGAGCAAAAACATGTAAACACTATGTTTATTAAACAGAGAAACTACATGTTCACAGGTTTTTGGTTCTCCGGTAGTAACCAATATTAATCCAATCAATGGAGTGATTCAACGGAAAACGCATAGAAACCTGGAAGGATTGGGATGTCTGTTGGCAAATTTCCCCATGGCGTTGCCCAGGCTTTCTACAACTTTCTCCACCAAAGATCTTGGATTTCGCCACGTACCAGGAAGAATACACACAAACAATTAAAGAATCTTTCAGAGTTGCCAAGAATCTTCCATGGTCAAGACACCCAAGGTAGGCCATCAAACTAGCAGAGAGTATGGATGGGGATATGACGAGCTTCATTATGCAACATTATGCAACCCGATTCTGGACCCTGGGGCTTGTAGACTGGACCCTGTGGTCAGTGTGACGGGCAACTCTCAGAGCCGGGCATTCCAAATGAAGTCAGTGTCGAAGATGAGGTTCATGTAGTTCATTGGACTGGCGAATTGAAAAAACCGCTGTCCCAATATCAGGATATGATCAGGATATGATCAGGATATGATCAGGATGTCTGAATTCGCAAGGGCCAGGTTTCACTTCAAATGTTGTTAGCTCCAATCTTTGGCCAAGTTTGCCCTGGGCTTGCAGGTGATTTCATCATGGAAATCTGGATGGACCCTCAAACAGCTGTGATCTGAAACGACTTGCCGGTTTTTTTCGGTGTACAATAAGTTACAATCACATACAATTACAATATCATGACATAAACTGACTGTATGGCCTTGTATTTTTCATCATTCAGACAAATTAAACACATATGTATCAGACATTACATTAAATAACGTCAAGTCATTTCAAGTCACATCACAATTACCCTCTGGTAATTTAACAGAACTATGGAAAATCACCATCTTTAATAGGTAAATCAACTATAAATGGGCCATGTTCAATAGCAAACTGTTAGTCATGAACAGAGGGTATCACAACAGGCGCCATCTCCTGTCACCCGCCTCTCAACAACTTCACACCTGTCATCAAAGAAGACGTCCAATTGGCACAACTCCATGCAAGGCCTTGACTCAAGTTGACGTGGCGGAACATTCTACAGGACAATCTGTGGAAATCTAGAGAAATTGACAGAACAAGCAGCAATGATTCTGAGGATTGTTTTTTTTTAAGGAATTCTATAGGAAAATGACGAAAAACCCAGCATGAATAGTGGGTTGCTGTAGATTTTCCCTTGTATAAACAAATTCTGAGAATGAAGGAGTGGTTTTACCGACAATCAGTTTGTTGGGGCTGCAACAAATACCAACCAACTGCACCAACTGAGCCATGGAAAATACCCCTATCCCGTCCCATAAAACTGTTTTCTGAATAAATACTCCTGGTTGTCAATCCCCAATAAATTCAGTAGTGTACAATAACTCCGTTGGCTTTTTGTAACCAACCAGAGGGGCATCTTTGGCTCAACGGAGCAGTGTTCCAGACTCATCGTGACGTCCCTGAATTTTATACTGGTTAGTTGAGAACGGGATTCCCCGTGGATTGTGATATTCCTCATTCTATTGGTTCAAACCCCGAACTAATCATCAACCAAGCATCATTTATTTATCAGTTCTACATCAGTTCTATCCACTTAAATGCCCTATATGTTCATGATGTTCATGGTTGAAGCCCCTATGAAATGACTATGAAATGACGAACGAATCATCCACCAACCAAAGTAGATCGCACCCTGAGGTGCTGGCGCTGGACCGCTGGCGTCAAGGGAGCGAGCTTGACCGGCTTCTTCAAAGATCCACCTTGAAAGCCCCGAGTTTTCAGATGGCTCAAGCCACCCAATGGGGGAAAAAATTGGGGATGTCCAACCGAAGCCACTGGGGGAAAATGAAGGTGTCAACCAACATCAACCGGCCATAAGTTCAGAATTTCATGAGATATTTCAACTGCACTCAGCAGCATCGGATCTACTATGCCTTGGTCCATTTTCAACGGGATACACAGCAATAAAACATGGTTTTGAGAATCATGTTGCTTCTCAAGATGGCATGACTTGCAGTATCCCCCATGTTTGGACAAACCACTAAAATGTAGGATTCAAGGATGCACAATGGCTGATGTATCCATTTAGAATATGTGTTGAAGAGTGGCCGTGTCTAGGTTAAGATGGGGCATAAATTCGTTATACCATTTGTCGGGCCGCATGTATTTGTAAGCGTATGAGGCTATGGGACACCTCAAGATAGCTGTGACCTACCAGGGGTTGATGATCAACAAAGAATGACGACACGGAAAAGCACGGTTTTTAGCTGGCAACCCTGGCCATAAACCGACCAGGACTGGGGATGGTCAACATACCCATGAAAAATGGTGAGATGTCCCAGGCTTGAAACCGTCCAACCATGGGCATTCAACGACAACTTTGTGGATAGAACCAAGCAGGCACATCGATGAGTGATCAGGAGAGACCGACCTGTTCATGGGTCTTTCACTCAAACCAAAATAGTCTTTACCCGGGGACCAAAAAAAAACATCAACCAACCATAATTTATATTCACTTATCAAAATTCATCAATTATATTCACTTATAACCCCATATTGTCATGTATGAAAACAACCATCAACCAACAAACGCGCCATTGTGCCATACGGCATATTTGGTGTCCAGTACTTCCCGCAAAACCAGTTTTAAAAGTCGTTCACATCATGTATATTACATATATATATATATATTACATATATATTACATATATATTACATATATATTACATATATATTACATATATATTACATATATATTACATATATATATATTATATAATTATATATAATTATATATAATTATATATATCATATTATGAACAAACAAACAAACCCAAGTTTTTTGCTGGCAGTTACTTCCTTGAAGGGATCGGAAGCCATCAGCAACTTGGTATACCAACAATTACTTTACTTCGTGTGATCCCCACCATGACATTTATACATTTTCTTACTGGCAAATCTTCTGGCATTCTATCTGACATATCTTCTGACATTCTATTTGACATTCTATCTGGCATATCTTCTGGCATATGATCTGGCATCTCTTCTGGCATATCTTCTGGCATTCTATCTGGCAAATCTTCTGGCATTCTATCTGGCATATCTTCTGGCACTCTATCTGACATATCTTCTGGCATTCTATCTGGCATATCTTCCGGCATATATTCTGACATATCTTCTGGCATTCTATCTGACATATCTTCTGGCATATATTCTGACATATCTTCTGGCATATCTTCTGGCATATCTTCTGGCATATCCTCTGACATATCTATCTGGCATATCTTCTGGCATATTTTCTGGCATTCTATCTGGCAAATCTTCTGGCATTCTATCTGGCATTCTATCTGGCATATCTTCTGGCATATTATCTTGCATTCTATCTGGCATATCTTCTGGCATATATTCTGACATATCTTCTGGCATTCTATCTGGCATTCTATTTGGCATTCTATCTGGCATATCTTCTGGCATATCTTCTGACATTCTTTCCGACATTCTTTCTAACTTTCTTCTGCACATTCTTTGTCCCATATCTTCCTACATGAGGTCCGGCAGGGAACACTTGGCGTGGATACTCGCGGTTGAGGTCCGGCAGGGAACGCTGGGCGTGGATGGTCGTGGTTGAGGTCCGGCAGGGAACACTGGGCGAGGATGGTCGTGGTTGAGGTCCGGCAGGGAACATTGGGCGTGGATGGTCGTGGTTGAGGTCCGGCAGGGAACACTGGGCGTGGATGGTCGTGGTTGAGGTCCGGCAGAGAACACTGTGGATCGCGGGTCGCAGTTGGACGAGGACGACGAGGACGACGAGGACGACGAGGACGACAAGGACGACAAGGATGACAAGGAGGACGAGGAGGACAAGGAGGAGAGGAGGAGAGGAGGAGGAGGAGGAGGAGGACGAGGCAGGAGGCAGGAGGAGGCAACTGACATAAAATCTAACAACCCTCACCTGGCAGGTGGGGAAAAAAAGGAAGCTACGTGAAACCAGCCAAGATCCGTTGGAATCTGTAGGTGATATCCGTTCCCAGTAGCAGGACACTTACCCTCCAGCAAACTAACATAGAAAACCCATGAAAATTCATTGTTGTTGAAAGAAAACTGATCATTCAAAACTGATCTAGAAATGGTGATGCATATCTATACGAATCTAGTGGGCAAGGATCCCTTAAACATGAGTTTCTTCAGAAATGCGGTACGGACCTCACATGTCACCCTATAATTCATCAGCGTTCTAGCATGTTTTAGCCATTGATTTGTCTGTGGGTCAAACTCTTGGTGCCCTTCTGTTGACATCAAAGCAGCTGATATGGCTGGAGGCTCATTCCCCCTTTCATATAGGAGAAAAAACACTGGTTTTGACACATCCCCATATCTCGTGTTTTTGATGGTGAATTGACCATGTTTGTCCACCAGAATATGAACATCTCATGAAATATGGGTCCAAAAACGAAGACTATACACCCCAAAAGGGCAATTTTACTACAGAAAAGGACCATTCGAAAAAACAAAAAAAATATTGGAATGGATGTCATCCTGTCATCCCCTTTTCAGAATTGTATTTTGATGGCATACCCTCTGGTAATTTGTTACATAGCTATGGAAAGATCCACCATGTTTCATGGGAAAATCCACTATTTCTATGGCCATTTTCAATAGCAAACTGTTAAATTACCAGAGGGTAATGGGAACATCATGCCCTACCGGCCATTTATAGTGGATTTTCCCCATATCTTACTGAAAGAATGGCCCCGAAAAAATAGCCGCCGCGGCACAAATCGAAAGGCATGGAGCTGGTGTTCACTGCGGCACTGCTGGATCTGGCGGTCGACTTTTTTTGTGGATTGTCCCCGTGTAGAAACATAGGAATTCCATGGGAATTTCATGGGGATATAGATGGGACAACTCATTTTGTTAATGGGACATCGAGTTCGATAGTTGAGATATACTTGGAGATACCATTCAGCAATTTCTTGGGGATACATATGTATATGTAATTATATATATATATACAATGGGAGATAACGGGATAACTGGGATAGTTGGAACCGATTTGCCGGGATAACTGTAACCAACAAAATGGTGATATTATGTGATATTTACCGGCCATGTTGGGGATATCATGTGGATATCATATGATAAAGAATAAGACATATTTGGGTGCATCTGAAAATGGCAGTACTGAAAATCCCAACTTCAAATGGCAACTCTAGTACAGTAGAGAAAGTATGAGAAAATGATGATTCAGGAAGCACCGTGAAAGATATAAGAGTAGGGAACCATCAACTTTGACTGAACTGTGATACTTTGCTAACCTGAAAATAGCTGAAATGTGTGGCCATTCGGGGATGATTCCCCCCAATCCAAACCATAAGAATCATCAAACGCCACACAGGGATTTCAGAAACTGTTTCAGTAAGTGTCAGTCAAAAAAATGTTTCACCAATCCAGGGGATCCAGCGGTACCAACCAAATGATTCAAAAGCTGATCCAGCTGGGGTCAGTTACCGCAACCAGGTCAAGATGAAGATGCAGAAGACCACAATGAAGAACGAGACCTGTCGACTGTCGACGTACTCATTTTGGCCGTGACACTGGTGACACTGATGGCTGGGAACTTCCCATATTTCAAACGGCCGTGTCTGGAACGGCCGTGAACGAAATATGGGGAAAAATCATCGAAGTTTCCATGGAGGTCTTAATGGAAAAATCCTCAACAGAAAATATTTTCCAAGGATTTTTATTGGGACTACATGGGTTTTCATCCAAAAATCCATGGCTTGGAAAATTCATGGTGGATTTTCCCGCCGAGCTGATGACACCGGAGGGTATATTTGTGCTGAATGCTCGGACAGGGCTGGCAGGAAACCGTCTTTCGTGCTGGATGGAATCTAGAATAATGATGGATAAAATGTAGAATATATATATATACCTGATTTGCAAATGCCTGTAGATTTGTATGTGGACTATACAATGAAAAAAAAACAACCACCACCGCCACCTTTGATTTTTGTGACCGGAGATTTTTTCAAAAGTACCACGTCTCCTATAATTATTTGAACATGGTGATGTTCTGAGTGGACCTCCTCAACATGGATTCCCCCAACCGGGCAGTCGCACGGTAAGCGTACAGAATTTCCTGCACTTGTGGAGCCTCAGTTGCAGGTGGCATCCTCGCGTCTGCTCTGAGTCCTAAAGCACAAAATAATTGGGTGTGTCAAATTTGGATAGAACAACTTCCACTGTACCCAGCAAAAATTGAATGGTTAATACCCTAAAAATACCAGAAAATGACTACTTGATCTTCTTGGTGGTTCGCCCCCAGTAGGTGGATTAGAAATGATTAGAAGCTCAGTTACAACTCGGCATTAACCCACGCGTCCGAGTCCTAGGATGGTTCGCATAAGGCCAGTGCAACCAGCTGTAGTCCATGTTCTCCCAGTAGAGCTCTTCAGGTTCGCAGGTCTGGCGGCCAGAGTGCTAGGAACAACTATGAAGGAAATATACTAAAGTGTACTCCATGTTACTAAAAAGCGACCGTCCTGACAATATATCAAATTATTGCCATAATGTGTGTGTACACCGTTATAACAAACGGTTTTAGTTTTTTTTCATTGCTCTTGTACTATTCTAAAAAGCAGGGGGCAGAGGTACCTATGTCACTTCCTCTGCCAACGAAGCTGGGTGACATGTGGTAAGGATATAGATCAGGGACGCCTGATCTACGTACCTGCTATAGTTTCAACTGTTGACTTTCTGTTCTTGTTTATGAGCTGTGCGTTGTTTCTTCGATCGCGAATCTGGGTCCGCTGAAATTCTACTGCCAGGCAACTCAGGAAATCAGGCGAAGACTATGACATCATTCACACTTTTTACTTACCATTACCCCACAGTGTGTCCTGGGTGTTTGACCTGACTTGGTCGCACCGTCGGTTGGTTTCGACCAATCAAAAAGTCATGAGCGGGCATTTTCCCGTATTCCGAGTGGAGTATGAATCTCCGAAGCCGTATGCACTTCGAGTGCATTTCAAGCGTCATATGACGAAGTCAAGATTTTACACTGTAAAATCCAATCGAAGCAGCCATAAGGCGAAGAAGCCATAAGGCAGAAGTTTCGTCCAGTTCGGACAAAGCAGACATAAGTCGAAGTTCCCAGCACCACGGGTGCAATACAAGTGCTTTTGGTCTGGTCGGAGTCTCAGTAGCATTTTCACCTCACTCGTCATCGTCATCAGGTTCTTTTTAGGCCATGTATTCATTCTCTTAGGCAGGCTCCTTAGGTTTGTTTTACCAGGTATAGAACATGGTTCAACGTTTTGTTTCTCACATCACTCGTCATCGTCATCAGGTTCTTTTGAGGCCATGTATTCATTCTCTTAGGCAGGCTCCTTAGGTCTGATTTACTAGGTATAGAACATGGTTCAACGTTTTATTTCTCACCTCACTCATCATCGTCATCAGGTTCTGTTTAGGCCATGTATTCACTCTCTTAGGCAGGCTCCTTAGGTTACTGTATAGCAAATGGTTTAGTTTTGATGAATCAATCATGTTTTGATACAGCAGGGAATTTTGTTATGCAGATTGAGCCGAACCTTGTCGGAACCTTTTCGGTCAAGAGCTCAGCAACAACTCAAGCTCATTCTGCAGTTCCGGAACTCAGAATTTCCACTTGCCAATGTACCTGTGCGATTTTTTGTTCTTGACGATGAGATGGAATTACAAATGAGGTCTTGGCTGAAAGGCTTTGTCGTACAGTCTTGTGCATCGTTTTCATTTTGAACTCAAACGTACTGCTTTTGCATACGCATTCCCTTTACTGTTATGATTTACGACTTATAGAACACGGTTTAACTTTTTGCTTCTCACATCACTCGTCATCGTCATCAGGTTCTTTTAGGCCAGGTATTCATTCTCTTAGGCAGGCTCTTTAGGTCAGTTTTCTTAGGTAAAAACTAGGCGGCTTGCGGTTTTGCCCCATTTCGGGGCTAATGTGTGTGTGTGTACACCGTTATAACAAACGGTTTTAGTTTTTTTCATTGCTCTTGTACTATTCTGCAAAGCAGGGGGCAGAGGTACCTATGTCACTTCCTCTGCCAACGAAGCTGGGTGACATGTGGTAAGGATATAGATCAGGGACGCCTGATCTACGTACCTGCTATAGTTTCAACTGTTGACTTTCTGTTCTTGTTTATGAGCTGTGCGTTGTTTCTTCGATCGCGAATCTGGGTCCGCTGAAATTCTACTGCCAGGCAACTCAGGAAATCAGGCGAAGACTATGATATCATTCACACTTTTTACTTACCATTACCCCACAGTGTGTGTCTGTGTGTCTGTGTGTCTGTCTGTCTGTCTGTATGTATGTATGTATCTATCTATCTATCTATGTATGTATGTACGTACGTACGTATGTATGTATCTATCTATGTATCTATGTATCTATGTATCTATGTATCTATGTATCTATGTATCTATGTATCTATGTATCTATCTATCTATCTATCTATCTATATATCTATATATATCTATCTATCTATTTATCTATCTATCTATCTATCCATCTATCTATGTATCTATCTATCTATCTATCTATGTATCTATGTATGTATCTATGTATGTATCTATGTATGTATCTATGTATGTATCTATGTATGTATCTATGTATGTATCTATGTATGTATCTATCTATGTATCTATCTATGTATCTATCTATGTATCTATCTATGTATCTATCTATGTATCTATCTATGCATCTATCTATGCATCTATGTATCTATGTATCTATGTATCTATGTATCTATGTATCTATGTATCTATGTATCTATGTATCTATGTATCTATCCATCCATGTATCTATGAATCTATGTATCTATGAATCTATGTCTGTCTGTATGTCTGTATGTCTGTATGTCTGTATGTCTGTATGTCTGTCTGTCTGTCTGTCTGTCTGTCTGTATGTCTGTATGTCTGTATGTCTGTATGTATGTCTGTCTGTCTGTCTGTCTGTATGTATGTATGTATGTGTGTGTGTGTGTTTGTGTGTTTGTGTGTTTGTGTGTTTGTGTTTGTGTTTGTGTTTTCGTTTGTGTTTGTGTTTGTGTATGCATGCATGGATGGATGTATGTGTATGTGTCTGTGTATGTGTATGTGTATGTGTATGTGTATATTATGTATATCCATATATATATCCTTATATATATACACATATATATATACATATATATACATATATATATATACATAATTGTGATATATCATCAGGGTGCCTGTGCAAAAACAAAAGTTATATGTGCTATGTAAGTATTACATTGGCCAAGAAAGGAATCAGTCACTCCCTCCTGGCCTGGGGGTTTCCTAAGTCATGGGGGATTCCCAATAGCTGGATGGATCATATGGAAAATCCGATTAGGGGGTACCCCAATTTCATCCAATTTCATGAAACACCCATTAATTAATAACTTGATACCCCCTTAAGCGCCCTGAGTCTCGCTCTCCTCCCAACTGTTTCCCAAGCCTTTCCCAAGCATTTCCCACCTGACTGACGCGCAAACGCCAGTCTTGGAAGCGCAAATGCTTGGGCTGAACGAGGCGAGATGTCCAGCTGTTTGTGAAGGGTTTGTACCTCATCGAGAAAAGCCCAGATCACTGGATAACAGATCCCTCAAAAATCGAAGAGCCGGTTGGTTCTTGAAAAACATGAAGCATTCAACATACGAAACATCATTCGTCGGGATCATTGGATCATTATCCCATTGCCATTTCGATGGTTTTTCAAACAGAGAAACCAACCGGACGGTCCAATGGTGCATTCAAAAGAAACCCATCTCAATGCTGCCAGGATGGGAACCAAGTCCCAAATGTGCCCATCAAATGGCTTAGCCAAATTCCATGGCCGAAAAAAAAAACCAAACTGCTTGCTGATGATACTTCTGCATGGATATGGCTTTCCAAACAAGTCTTCACTGAGCGCCCTCCTTTTTTGAAACTGTCCCACATAATTAGCTGTAAAACATCCAAATATTATCCAAACTCCTGGCAATCACCAACAGTTCAGGTGGTGATGCCTTTCGGATCATGTTTGAAAACCCTCAAGTGATGGGAAAAACGATGCAACGTCCATCTTAAGGGGTACTAGGTCCCCCAAAAATGAGCTGATCCTTCCTCCTTCCGCTGCTGCGCACGCGCTGAGCACTAAATCTTTCATCTGCTCCGTTTGGAACATCACGAACGCGCCACAGACCTCCCAACTGAGGCAAGGCGCCAAAAAAAAAGGATAACGATTGGGATAACAAAGTGTTGTTGAACCAAACAAGGGGACTGTAAACCGACAAGCAGTGTGTTTTATAAGTCAAAAAGAGTTGGAATAAAGGTGATCGGACAAGAAAGATATATACATATATAATCATATATACACAGATTGTAATAAATTAAAATCAACAAAACATAGGAATAATATATATATATGGAAAATTATGGAAATAGAAGTCTTATATGTCAACATAATATCACCAACAGCAGTGGCTATCCAACCTTTTGGCCTCACTTGCCCTACGCCGACACCTGACCAGACTGCCTGCCTCGCGTTCAGAATCTTTCATGTCCTTAGAGATTGCCACTGGATTGGGAGCGAGATACGATTGGCAGCGATTGGTAGCATCTCGGGACCTCAAAAACTACGACGTTGGGATCAGTGTCTAATTTTTGATCTGGAATTTGGATATGTTATATATGTATATATATATGATTATATATGTTGTGTTATTTGAACCCCCGGTCCAAAAATCTATGGCAACTTAGTAGAAATCCCACGGCAAACAATTTTCATGGCGTAACTGCGTAACTTCTTTGCGCCAGCGCTCATACTGGCCAAATGTGATGCGTCTGGGGCAAAATGGATGGTTATACATGGTTAAACAATAGGCATTTATGGGATATAAATGGATATAATAGAAATATAATTGAGATGCCCTGTGAAACCCAGAGTTGACCTTCAGATTGGAGCTTCAAAAATTGCCCGGTGCCTTTAATCGATTGGCGTTTTCCAAGATGGGCCACATCACCACTGAGGCCACCGACAGTTTGTTCCTTGATGGTTTCCTGCCGGTGGAGTCTTGTTAGTGTTAATCATCAAGACGTTGGGTGCGATGTACAACAACAGCTACACTTTTGTAAACTTACATAATAGCTATTTTTCAGATCCAACCTTTTAGATAATTTACATATTGAAAATTTGTGATTGTCCATAGCTATGTTGAAGACAAGCATACTATCATGGGTATCTCGGGAGGTTCTTAAAACCAGAGTTACACCAAGATGTCGGGCTTAACTGAAACCAATGGTGCTAGACCGTAGCTAATATAAAACACCCCTATTGCATGGTCTCAAATATATAATTACGTGGATTTATAGACTTATTCCCTACTGAACGATTTAATATTGGGGGGAAGGGACTCTGTATAAAAATAAAAAACGTTAGAAAAGCACTTATGTCCCAGGGAACCCCTTCCCCCAACTGTACCCACTACACCCTTGTCACCAATATGAGGCAAAACTCATGACCGGAAACGACGAACCTCAAGGACAACTATATGGACATTGGGCATATACTGAGAATATACAGTAAATGCTTCAAGCAATAATCAATAATCATATTTATCTATTAATCCGTCCATCCATCCATCCATCCATCCTTCCATACATCTGTCCATCTGTTTGTGTGTACTATTAGTGAATATGAATATGCCTATTATTTACTGTATGTATGTATACATATTTCTATACATATATATATACACATACATACATACATACATACATACATCCTTACCTTACCTTACCTTACCTTACCTTACATTACATTACATTACATTACATACATAAATACATTACATACATTACATACATAAATACATAAATACATACATACATAAATACATTACATACATAAATACATACATACATAAATACATTACATACATAAATACATAAATACATACATACATAAATACATTACATACATACATACATACATACATACATACATACATACATACATACATACATACATACATACATACATACATACATACATACATACATACTACATACATACATACATACATACATACATACATACATACATACATACATACATACATACATACATACATACATACATACATACATCATACATACATACATACATACATACATACATACATACATACATACATACATACATACATACATACATACATACATACATACATACATACATACATACATACATACATACATACATACATACATACATACATACATACATACATACATTTCATACATTTCATACATTTCATACATTCATACATACATAGCATTACATAACATTACATAACATTACATAACATTAGATAACATTACATTACATTACATTATATAAAATTACATTACATTACATTACATTACATTACATTACATACATTACATTACATTACATCACATCACATCACACTACATCACATCACATTACATTACAGTACATTACATACATACCTACATACCTACCTACCTACATACCTACCTACCTACCTACATACATACATACATAACCATACCACAACCGCATTTCCACTGCAGGTCATTGTCAAAGCGGAAGCCAAGGACAAGACATCGAGCTTGTAGAACTGTTTCTTCAGCTTTTCACGCTTCCTGAGGGCCGGATAGCCGGTTGATACAGGCCGGAGGCTGCATTGACACTCTAGAGGTGCCATTGTTCGGATGTGTCGTGGTATTCATGACTGGAGGTGCTTCTAGGTTCAAAACACATACAATAAAAACACATCCTAATTAACTAGTCTGTCCGTGGTTACCCTACTGTCATCCCCTTCTGCGGCTTAAAACCAGTTAGTATCCAGTTAGAAACTCCACCAACTATCCACCAACATCCAGGTTTAGTGTTGTTTAGTGGCACATCGGTGCATCTCAGGGCAGCGCTTCTCCAATTTCTGCTGCTTCTCTGCTTTGCCGTCACTCTTGGCCAACCTGCGGCCGGCGCCGGTTGGCCGCGGCAGCCATGAAGTGCGAACCCTGAAGCATCAATATACGTGTACAATTTATACATATTATATATGAATATATATATATGTATATATATATATATCGTGATTATCATTATCATCACCACCAGCAACATCATCATGATGACTTTGAGGGTCGGACTATCTCTTACTCTTCCCCCATTTCCCCCCTCTTGGAAAGCGCCTTGCTCCAATGCTTGCTTCATACATCTCCTCCAACAAGTTTCCTTGCTGGAGGAAGGTTGAAATACAGCCGTCCTCAGCAAGACACCAGCCGTGGAAAACCAAAAGCAACTCTCTCGACTGCCTCATGATGTCTGTAGGCCCGCTACGCATGACTCCCAAACATCCAATGGTGTATATGCAATGTATATATGGATATGGTATGATATGCTTAGCTCTCACGATTATCAAGAGCCAGCTGTCTTTAAAATCACTTTCGACTGAGGTCACGACGTATTCCCGAATCAGCGCAACCTCCGCCACGTTCGGCCTCTCTGGATCCTTGGTGACGTGAGCGTTAAGCCACTCAGTGGTGTCTGGTTGGTGGTCTTCACCACAAAAATATCCTCGTCCTCTCAACCAATCATCCCAGTTCTATAGTTAGAAAAATGTGTGTATACACATGTATATGAATGTATAATATATATATATCATAAACCACACACATATAAATGTATGCATATATATAGATACATATATATATAATATGTATATATATAATATATATATGTTATATATTTGACACCTCCCACTGGATGTCTCTAAGTCTGCCATGGAACATCATTTTCGTCTTGTCCACACTCCAAAAGCACCTGGCAAGTGGCGAACAGCTCTCCCAGGCTATCCCAGTGGTTGATCGTCATGTTCCCTGCAGATTTTTTTTTTTTTTGGGGGGGGGATGTTTTTCTGCTCACCGGAAAAGAGCAAAGTCCCAATGAACGTCCCCAGCCTTTTCAAAATGATGCTTCAACAACGGTTCCTGAGTGGCAAGTGATGCTTCAATAACGGTGTTTATGTCCAAGAACTCCACATGATCCAAGGATATCCAAAACATTCCAAAACTACAAACAGAAATGTAAGAGTCTTACAATTTGGGTTGCAAAGTACATACATGGTTGTGGTATATATGTATGCGAATGTATATGCTATATATCTATATATACATACATTATAATTATATATATATTATTGTATACACATATATATTACGTTCACATATGTTATAGTTTTACTCATGTAAACTGCAAGCATACAAGATCATACATCGGTTGCATGTACTATTATATGTACATGTTGTACTATTATATGTACCTCCCATGGTCCCATGACCTCAACGTTCAGGGAATATCCACAATTTGTCGCTTGCAGAAAGCCACTTCGGAACTGTTTCTTACTGAATGTCAGTCAAAAACTCACAATCATCACGAGTATCATCATCATCATCATCATCATCCTCATCCATACACCAAAGGATGTCCACACCCGATGGATCACAAAAACCACGTTGATCCAAGTTGCGTAGTTTTCATGGTTTTGTTTGAGCTTCCTGTAGCAGGGGCTACATCAAACAATATCAAACATCGACCTGCATGTGGCTGTAATTACAGTATCTAAGAAAAATCACCAAGGTGACTGCATCATATGAGGTGGAAATCTTCAAGGCTCCTCGGCAGGCCGCCAACGCGAATCGCAAAGTCGCTGGCGGTGACATTGGCCTTTCTGAAACCATGTGACTTGCTGAGAGCACAGATCGTTCATAATTAATACTACACCATACAGTATTTTGGGTACCCAAAGTATGTCGAGAAATGCAGATATGAATATATCCAGGTAGATATGATAGAATTGATAGAATCGGGCAGGCTCTTGCACTCTGCACCTCTGTGATGTGCACAACATACCAGGACCACCCTCATGAGCCTGAAAATGCCCGACAAGCATTCAGTTTGAAGCTGGCTATTGACCTGCATTTCTAGATACTTTCTAGATACTGGATGCAGAATTAATCAAGGATAGACTCTGGAACCCAAGTCGTCCAAGTCTCTTCATTCTTCAAGTCTCTTAAGGGCAACGACAGCCCCACCACTTGCCTCATCCTGAATCCGCACCGCAGCAGGAATCTTGTAGAGGCGAAACCTGACATGTCTTCTGTGCGACGTCGCTGGCGGGATGGTGTTCATCAGCAAAGCTATGTGGATATGATGGATATGAACTGGGGCATTAAGATATCAATTACCAACCAACAAAATTTGGTTCTGAAAATAGGGTGGAGTACTGCAAAAGCCAATGCCTGATCACATGAAAGCTGCAATCCTGGTCACCCATTTTGCACAAAGTCACTTGGGGGTTCATCCATCGATTTTGTGCGGGATCAGCAAGTTCGAGCCAATCTTGAGTTAAGTCGCAATACTCAAATTGAAGTCGACACTTTTATAGTTGAAATCGACAGCATCTTGGACGACAAAATCTCCAGTGTTCATCTCCATTTTGGATCATTTTGGCAGGCCCCAAAATCCTCAGGTCGCGACCAGATGATAAAGCCCAGGGCAATGATCATCTGCACCAAATCCAGAATGCCTAATGCAGGCGTGACCTCAGCGTTGACGATGGCGGTAGAAAACACCAAGGCCCGGCAACGCCGTGGCAAACATCCCCCCCTAGTTCAATATCGAACCAGGAAATATCAATCAGGATCAATCAAGAAATTTATACATACTTACTATATATATAAATAATGAATATAATGTGTATATATATATATATCTTTCAATTTCAGTATCTGACCACGATCTGTAAATGAGGAAATCTGAAAATATCCCCATGTTTCTTGATTGCTGTTCCAATTATCCCAATACCCAGCGATAAATTCAACATAACTATAGAAGCCATGGCCCATTTATAGATGGTTGACCTATCACTGGTGGATTTTCCCTATATGGCTATTTTTGTCAAAACCCCGGTACTCTTGAAAGCCTAGAATAGCTGGGATTTATGGCTGTTTATCCCCCCCAATATGATAATAATAGGTAACTTGACACATCCCCTAATAGTATGGGTCAAACTTGGGTACCTGAAAAAAATGTGCTCAATATTAACCAAAAATAGAGCCATCTATGGTAGCCATATGCGCTAAATTACCAGATGGTATCTCCCATCATAAGCCAGGCATAGACTCCATGAAAGTCGGAGCCGGGTGGCGTCTGACACCAGTGTGTCCGAACCAGGAAACACCTGCCCAGCGGGGTGGGAGGGACTCAGCCGGGATGCCGTCCTAATGAACTCCTCTGGTAATGAATCCCCAAACTGCATAGGCATTTGAATGGGAAAATCATCGAACTAAATGGGTGATTTTCCCAGATGTTATATATATATACATATTGCAATGTTTGATTACCGGAGGGTAACCATCAGAAGTGGGGGATGAATCAATAGGATTCAAGCCATCAAAAAATCATGTATGTTCAATGGATTGGTTTCAAGTCAACCCCAAAAATCCACCAAAATTGGTATTTTAGTGGATGAATCATTCGGGAATATGTTGGGACGAAGCATCAACCAATGGCATATGAACATATATCTATACACATGTTACCCTCTGGTAAATTAACATAGACCCTGAAAGTAACACGTTTTAAGTGGTAACTAATCTTCCAACCCCTATCTGGCAGGGTCTAGGTTAATTTACTGGAGGGTAAATCATATTACCATCTGGTTAATCTACAAATGGGCTATTTATACCATGGCTATGTTAAATAACCAGAGGGTAACATATCAGGTCGCATCCTTGTCAGGCATCGCCCGGTGTCCACCTTCCGGGTCTCTCGCTGATGTTGAGAAAGGCAATCCTCAGCGCCATGTCACGTCCAATTGAACAGTGATCATCCCCCATATGTTGGATAGATGTTGGATTGTTTAATCATGTTTAACTGGTTGGTGGTTGAGCCCTACCCCTATGAAAAATATGAAAGTCAGTTGGGATTATGACATTCCCAATATATGGAAAAATCAAAAATGTTCCAAACCACCAACCAGATAATGATAGCTTAATCATCTTTAATCCATATACCTATCAATCAACAGGGCTTTGAAATGAAACACTACTGATATGATCTGGCTGTGCTTTGCAGCTTCATTCAGACGATTTCCCTGCTGCAATCCCTGCTGAATATGTCCAAAATATTTCCCCTGATGAACTTAGCGTATACCAGCCCCCAAAAAGATATATAGAAAGGGTTAACATCTTGCCACTATATATATCTACTATTTCAGTATAGATGTTTTTGAATGTGTTTAGATGTTTTTTTGTTTCAATCTGTCTGAAGTCGCAGGTTGCTCCATGTTTCCATGCATGGAAATTCTGCCAAGGGGCCATCGCCCCAGACCCGCAGGTCCTCGACGGGAATAGCCATGTGTCATAGAGAAATCATCCCTGGATGATATTTATATGAGTATATCATGGATATATATATATATATATATCAAGGGATGATTTCTCTATGATATATCATGAAAATGAAATATATCTATGAATATATATCATGAAAATGGAATAGCCATAAATATTCCATTCATGATATCTATATCATGAGACACGCATGTGAAAAATCATGGTTTTTCCAAAACTCTATGAGTATTTATTGATTGGTGAGATTTGCGCGAAATCACCACTATAATTACGGGTTGCTCATGTCATGTGGTAAAGCCGAATATCTCCAGTAGCAGAAATATCTAGACATAGGCCGTGGAAACCAGGTTTATGGCATACATCCCCTGTGGTAAAAGATGCACTAAGCAGTACTAAGGTGCTAATTCAAGGTTACCCCAGAATTGGTGTACCCAAACCTTATTTCATCTGGCTGAATTGTGATAATTCATCCACCTGTAGGCATGGGTCGTAGATACAATGCACCTGATTTCACAGGTCCATTCCTGGTGCCTTTTGGAAATCTAGCCTACATCTCACCAGTTCAAAATGAAGCCATCATTAGTTACTGCTACTCGAAGGGGGCACCACTCAAGATAGCCTCGCCAAGAAGAATCAGGAATCAGCGTTGATACAATCACAGTATATGATACTATATGTACATTCCATATTGATCAAGCATTGCAGCATGCTTGTTTCAACAAGTCTGAGATCACGACCCCAAGTTTGCGGGGGTGAAAAGCGCCATGCCCCTGTTTCACAATGCGGCCAAGCTTGTGGCCGCAATGCCAAGGTTGCAATGTGAACGCTGAAATCAAACTCTCTTTGCTTGTTTTTTGAAAAAAACATTCAATTGTACCAATCGGTGCAAAAAATGATCCCAAATATATCAAATATCAAATTAAATGACTGGACGTTCAGATTCCAACCACGCAAGTTTCACAAGACCTGCAGTATCTCGCAGCCTTGTTGCATGTATTTGCGATACTTTTTCAATTCAAACCATCAGCTGAGAGATTCTGAGAGCTAGGCTTGTAGAAGAAATTCTGATTTTTGGTTTCAGGAAAGTCATTGAGGATCGTGCCTAAGGGCCAGGACTTGCGTAAGTCCGCAGTATGACTACCAATTGGTTGAACCAAATAGTGTTGGAATCAAACACTGACTGTGATATTTCGCATAAATCACTATATAAATATTGAATAATATCGACATATATCGAATCAAGAGGTAGTCGCAACAGCGTAAAACAAACTGTCTCGGACGCCAACCACCCAGAGTGTAGTACCTGGGATCGTACCAAGGCACGGCAAATGGATGTTCATCTCGGCAAAATATGGTGGTTGGTGATATAGTACCGTATATCTAATAGTAGTTAAAGATAACTAAGATAACAGTTAAAGAATCATTGTAAATGTTTCAATAGAATTCATAGGGCTTCATCCATTCGCAACTTTGGTTCGTGGTTTCCGTTTCAACCCCCCAAAACATATAATGAAGGTCTCAATTTGGATCTTCTCAGGCAGGGATGAAAGCCCTGATGTTGCACTCCGCACAACTCGCTTCGTGGCTGGATATCTTGATTTCACTTCGACCACCATGTGGGTAATTTACAATAGAATACGCCTAAATCCATTGGTTTATCATCATGTTCCTATCAAAAGTCTTCTTAAATGTTTACATCAAGGCTATCTAAATCTCTCCAAGATGTTTTTTACATCAAAAAAAACATTTTGAGGCACCAAAGTCACCAAAGCATACCAAATGCCAAAAAGCATCCCAAAGCCATGTAAAAACGGGTGAAAATTGCTCCATCCTGCCCCAAAATATGGAACTTCGCCAGCTCTCCAGGAGCCACTGGGCTTCCCTTGCAGCATTGGGATGGTGAAAAGGAAGAGGAAAACCCAGAGCCAGCCCATATCTCAGCAGGCGACGCGGCGACGCTGAGATAAGTTCCTCTTTTTGGGGATATGGTGGCTCCAATCTGGCCGAACTTTGATTTGAGAACTGGCATTCATTCCATTGAACTGGAGATAGCCTGAGAATTACAGAACAAGGGGCATTGCAAGCATTCAACGATGTGAGACTCCATCAATTTGGAGACATCCGGGCAATATCCATTTGCACCACAAACCCTGAAAATTACACTGCGGGTCAGCTGCCTGCCCCATTTCTGTGGGAAAACTCCTTGATCTCTCGGATCACTCTGAACTCGTTGGTAGCTTTCAGTTTGAATATCAGTCGGTTCGAAATGCGTTCTTTTGCGCATCCTAGTCAGGATGGAAACTTCAATCAATAGATGTGAAATCAATCTGAAGCGCCAATTTCCAGCCCCCAACATGGCACCTGAGAGAAACTCAAAATAAAGCTGGACACCAACACCATATTCTCCTGGCAAAGGACCATACGGATCCATACGCTTCATGGGATATAGTTCATGACAAATTATAGGAAATAGATGGAAATAAATGGATGGGTGTATCCAGACTTCAATCCCACAACCTTCAAGACATGGACACGGTCCATATTTTAGCAGGGACCTTGGATGGTTTTGGATGGTGAAAAGGGTGGTCCCATGCAAAAAAATCGCGGACTTGGTATGGAGAAGTTGGCGCCAAAAACTGTTTGACTATGATGACTATGCTACAGGTTAGGCGCGCCTTTGAAAGCCGACCTAAAAGCTTACAGTATTTTTCTATATATGGGTATGAGTCAGAATTGGGTACTCTAATCAGTGGATTGTTAATCTAAAGATGGCACTAAAATCTGTGGTCCCCCAGGTCTTTAATTTTGACCCATACCCATATATGTTTCTCACATCACATCCTTTAGTACACTAATTAACCCATGCTTGACTGCCCGTAGTTCTTCCAGAATAGAATCTCCCAAAAGGATCTAAGCTGACAATTCCTGATGCTCAGCACATCCGGAGGCCTAGATCCTTTGGACCAGTGCCAACCAATTTTTTCGGCTTTCCATCTCCGGTCCTCAGCCACACGAGAGGATGTGGGTGCTGTGAAATCAGTGGGCAACTGTACAATGAGATGGTTGACTAGCAAATATCAACCATTCTTACCCAGACCGTCCCAGACCCAACTGTCATCACTCTGCGCAACTTGGAGCTTGGAGTGCGCAATCTGCTGACCAGGGACGTGCAGGCAGTCTCCATCATGAATTTCTGTCGCAGCGAGAGAGGGTTGGGGAATCATTTCGATACCCAACTCGCCAACGTCAACACTCCACTTCTTTCATCTCTGGTTGAGGCGTGTGCACCCAGATTCTTCAAAGTTGTCAATGTCAAATCCATTGTGTTTAAAGTTCAAGACATGCGTATATATATGTGTGTGTACTATATATGATATATCATGCTGTATATTATATTCCCATATTAGATGTAACTACGGCTATATGTACTTATACTGTATACTGATACTTGTATAACTCCTCCCCTGACTGCACATCCGAGACTTAGTTGAAAAATGAAGAATTTCGGCCCTCCAAATGTTGGTAACTGGGCTTAAATAAATGGCCATAAACATTACCTTCTGCCTCAATTTTAGATATGTGTTGCAATATCCCCAGTTATATAATGTTACATATATATATATGGGTAAATTACCATAATTCACTAAACTGAAATAAGGCTGTTATGGGGAGAATTACCATTGACTAAACATCACTACAGTGAGGTCACAGTGAGGTCGTGAAATTTTACCCATATGAAAGTATCATTGACATCCATTAACACCCATTGACTATATATAACTGGGTAATACTGGATAAATTATATATTATATATTATGTAATAATATATGGATGTGGGTCAAAATGGAAGACCTAGGGGACCACAGATGTTAGTCTAGTTTAGTATTAACCATCCAATTATTGGGGTACCTAATTTTGACCCATACCCATATATATATATATTATATAAACACCCATAACATCCATAGCAATCGATCAGTCCTTTAAAAACCATCCGAGCTCTTCGGTTCGTGCCTTGGCGATACCCAGCTTCTCGGGTCTCGCCTGTTTTGCGCACATGGAACTTGTCGCAAAAAGGGGAACATTTAAATGGGGCGTTGGTAATGATTTATGGTGATTTAATTTATGGTGATTTAATGGGTTTTAATGATGGTGGTTTAAAAGTGATTTAATGATGATTTAAAGGGATCTAATGGCGATCTAATCTTATGCTTACGGTGATTTACCATCATAAAAGGAAATATGACATTGAACACTAGCAGTCACTAGCAACAAGTAAAACACATTGGATTTGGTGACATGGTGAAACCTACTTAACCTACTTAACCTACTTAAATACTGCTTATTTCTTTACTATAACTTTAGACGTAACTACAGGATTTGTGTGATTTGCGAGAAACTTGATGGTAAACCCACTCAAAAGCCTGAAGTCCGCCGGCTTGCACATCAAAATGGATAGTTTTTGTTCTCATGGCTGCTTATCCTCCCAGGACTTACTAATAAGCATGTGTTTTTCCAGTTGATTTTCCAATGAACCGATAATCATGGGGACATCAACAACACTGTGAATATGACCACACTTCCACGGCACTCGGACTGTTCCTTCTTCTCATCCTCAGTCTGCTCCATATCTTCAGCTTCCTTTTTTTGTTCATCACCGATGAACCACATCAGAATCACCAGATCTTACAACCCAATTCAGCAACGTAAAAGGCGAACACGGGTATGTTCGCCCCAAAGACATGGATTTTATGTGGAACAATTTATATATAATACATGTACATGTGTATATGTATATATATAGATATTGTGTATGTTCTGTGTTTCTATATATACCCCTTGGTTGCTCCTAGGGGGGGTCCAACCCCTGAAATAGTAGACACCAGTGGCTGTTTTCCAGAGGGGCCTGACCCCCCCCCATACCCATTTTGAGCATTTCTGAATGGATAAAATCTAGGGGCCCAAGTCTAGCATTCGTAAACCAAACATTTTTGCTAACACTCAACTTGGACAAGGGAACCAATACTTTGGAGCAATTTGGACGTTCCAAAATGGTCAAAGGTCAGGCCCCTCAAAATATTTTGGGCATGTTGTGAATATTTTGGACATACATTTTTTATCTGTGAATCTTATGAAACCATGGACCTCCTGGATTTTAGCCATAGTTCTTTTTCCCCCTGCATGCCACAGATAAGCTGGCCACTTTGAAAGGTTCTCAACAGAGATAAAGTTGACAAACATGTCACAACTAACTTCCCAAGAAAACAATTTTTGCACACCTTTTATGCCAGTTGTTTTTAGAGGGATTCATCATTCATCTATCAAGGTTAGCGGATACAGATGTTATTTTCAGGTTTTACCTCCAAGCTTCAAGAGCAAAGATTGGATTCGGTAGCCTCTTTTGGAATCAATTTTAGTGTTTGTCCTTGATGTGCGGGTTCAAAAAACGGATTTCAGTGAGGAGACTTTGTTCTGGATTTGATTTTTTTTTACAAATATGATAAAGGTAAACATTTCAGCACCGTCCCAAGTAAATAAACTTAGTGCAAGTTTTTTGATGCTGATTTGCAGAGGGGTTGATATCTCAAGGTTGGGGACACAGGTTTTATTTCCTGCATTTCTGGCCTAGCACCCCGCTAAGTCGAAGCAGCTATCCGGGAGCTGAAGGTGGACCGGGTGAGACGTTGGTATCCAGGATTTGGTTGCGTGTTTTTTGGATCAAATTCAATATTTGTCCTTGATTTGAAAGCTCAACAAAAAATGGATTGACAGGGTTTCCGTTTCGGTACAAAAGCTGATAAACATGTCCAAGAAATAAAATGTGCACCTTTGGTTGATGCCTGTTTTGCAGAGGGGTTCATCTATCAAGATTGGGGACATAGATTTTATTTCTTGGTTTTTCCTCCAAGCTTGGCCCCGCTAGATCGAAGCAGCTATGCGGGAACAGAAGAAGCACACGATTTGGCAACCTTTTTGTTTGGGTCAAATTCAATCTATTGACCTGAAAGTTCAAAAACAATAAGGTTTCAAGGTGAGGAAATGTTTAACGGTGAGTCTGATAAACATGGCCACAATGCTCAGCAAAATCAACTTCATGCACCTTTGTTACAGTTTGATGCCAGTTTTGCAGGGGATTTCATCAATCAAGGATGTTTCTTTCTTCCTTTCCAATCAAAGGTGCAGGTTGGACCTAAATTGAAAGGGCTGACATCTGAAAATAAGATAGGTACCAAACCTCAAGTAGGATGAAAATAAAATTCAATGAACCCAACCTTCCAAAGATAAAATCAAGGTGCCTGACATGAAATTGGAATGAGATAAAATCCAAGGGCTGGACCCCCCTTGGGTCCTCTTTGGAAGCGAGTACCCTTGAAGTGACCTACGAGGGGTCTAGCCCCTTGGAATTTATCTCACACTTATAATCGAGATAAAATCTAGCATGTCTGCAGATAAAATCAAGGGACCTATCGTCATGTTTACTAAAAAGCTAAAAAAAATATAGCCATGCACCCCAGGGGCTGGAGCTCCTAGATCTCAGCTGGGAGCAAGCATCGGGTATTCTATATATATATACACACACTCTGTACGAGTATGTATCTGTATGTATGTATGTATGTATGTATGTATGTATGTATGTATGTATGTATGTATGCATGTATGCATGTATGCATGTATGCATGTATGCATGTATGCATGTATGCATGTATGCATGTATGCATGTATGCATGTATGCATGTATGCATGTGCATGTATGCATGTATGCATGTATGCATGTATGCATGTATGCATGTATGCATGTATGCATGTATGCATGTATGCATGTATGCATGTATGCATGTATGCATGTGCATGTATGCATGTATGCATGTATGCATGTATGCATGCATGCATGCATGTATGCATGCATGCATGCATGCATGCATGCATGTATGTATGTATGTATATACTGTAGTAATATAGTATTTAACAAGAGACATGTATCGATGATACCGTCCTCCTTCGTGAAAGCGTCACGCAGCTGTTTCTTCAATTTGGCTCGTTGTGCCTCAGCGGAGGCGTCGGCATCGAGCTGCCACGTGATCTCAAAACCAAAGGAACTCCCTTCGCATCATCCCAAGCTACATTAAAAAAATCTGGTAAAATCAGGATATTCCCTTGAAATCTAGTATTTCAGAATTTCACAGGGTTTGATCATGGTTGATCATGTTTGATCCATCTCCATGGTACTTCAAACTTCTCATGGTAACCCCCCGTGGAAAATTCTGAGTACCTTGGGATCATCCTGGTTTGGCTGTCCCCGGAAACTGTAGGCTAATTACCAGGGAAATACTATAAAACATATGAAGTATGTTCAAGTATATGACAGTAAATAAATATAAATATGTATAATATATATATATATAATTATATAATATGTGTATTACAGTAGGTACATGTAGGTACCATAAAATGTCATATCTAAGTAACCCCCCAAGCATGAAATGGATTCGCAGGACATTTCTGGGAGTCTCTTCCCTTGATTTGCGATCCATCCGCCATGCACCAAGATTTTGGGTGAGACTACACAGGGTTACACTACCCTCTGGTAAACTAACAGTTTGCGATTTTTCAAATGGACCATTTATAGATGAATTACCTATCAAAGATGGTGATTTTCGCTATGTTAGTCATTACCAGAGGGTTCTCGGATCCCTTGAGTCCCCCGGTCCTTGTTTTTATCCTTTTGCTGAGAGACCTTGTGGTCCTTGGAAACTGAAGCTGCGAAACAGCCTGACCGGCCTGATTTACCATTGCACCGGCATGTTGGTGATTGTTATTAATTATTACCATGTTTGGGGGATATACTTCAACGGCCATGTCAAGTACCTACAGTAAATTGGAGGTACCTACCATATATAAGGCCAATGTAAGGGCTACGTAAGGGGATATGCCCCAGAGTCTGGCTCTATATGGTACAGTACCTCCATTTTAAGGTCCAGAATTTCCCATGGAATAATGGGGATATCGTTGAGATGTAGCGGGATACAAACAATATGATATTTTTTTGAATGATATATAGTTTCCAAGGTTGCAATGTAGTATCTTGATTGGTGTGGGGTGTTGGTATTGCGTCAAGTTTCTCAAAAATAATTCCAGCCCTGTGAATTGATGTGGATGTGGTCGGTGTTGTTTGTGTCAAGTTTTTTTCTGATATGTATTCATGATGTTTTTTCCAATATGTTTTTTTTCCTGGAGACTATTGTTCAAGATGTTTAGGATTGATGTTTGGCTTAAGAAAAAAAAACTAATCACGTTTTCTCAATTTCCACCAAAAGATCAAATTCCTTCTGAAAACCCATTAGAACAAAACAGCACGCAAATCATGTTTCAAGTGGGTAGCCCATGAGCAACCTCAGATCTTCAACAATATGTTTGTTGTTGGGGTCTTCTATTGTGTCCAACTTTCTCTTGGGTTGTTTTTTTCATAAAGCCCCTTATCCCTTTCTTTGGTAAAGTTATTGTAACTTACTTAACTTTCTTCTTGAGTCCTCCAAATGCCAAATTCCACAAAATATCAATTACTTTACTTCGCGTGATCCCCACCATGACATGTCAGGACGTATATATTCTGACATTCTATCTGACATATATTCTGGCATTCTATCTGAATTCTATCTGGCATTCTATCTAACATATATTCTGACATTTCATCTGGCATTCTACCTGGCATTTTACCTGACATATATTTTGACATATGTTCTGCCATTCTATCTGGCATTCTATCTGACATATATTCAGAGATTCTATCAATTCTATCTGGCATTCTTTCTGGCATTCTATCTGGCATTCTATCTGGCATATATTCTGACATTCTACCTGGCATTGTATCTGACATTCTAAGAATCTATCTCGCATTCTATCTGACATTCTATCTGGCATTGTATCTGACATTCTATCTGGCATTCTATCTGGCATTTTATCTGACATATATTTTGACATATATTCTGCCATTCTATCTGGCATTCTATCTGACATATATTCTGAGATTCTATCTGGCATTCTTTCTGGCATTCTATTCGTCGTGGTTGAGGTCCGGCAGGGAACACTGGGCGTGGATGGTTGCGGTTGAGGTCCGGCAGGGAACACTGGGCATGGATGGCCGCGGGTGAGGTCCGTCAGGGAACACTGGGCGTGGATGGTCGCGGTTGAGGTCCGGCAGGGAACACTGGGCGTGGATGATCGCGGTTGAGGTCCGGCAGAAAACACTGGGCGTGGATGGTCGCGGTTGAGGCCCGGCGGGGAACACTGGGCGTGGATGGTCGTGGTTGAGGTCCGAGGAGGAGACGAGGACGACAAGGACGACAAGGATGACAAGGAGGACGAGGAGGACGAGGAGGAGAGGAGGAGGAGGAGGACGAGGCAGGAGGAGGCAACTGACATAAAATCTAACAACCCTCACCTGGCAGGTGGGGAAAAAGAAAATCCTTATTAAAACCCAATTCAAAAAAACATCCCCCCAAAAAAAATCTAGTGGGTACTCTCGGGTAAACAAACGTAGCTGCGTTTTTACAAATTTTGCAACGCTAACCTAGCTATAACCTAGCTACCAGAATAGGCTGCCAGACTAGCATGTTCCCAGCAGACCCTTAGCTATTGGACAGCATCAACAATAAACAGGTAAGAAACAGTTTGAACAGCAGCCCACTAACATAGCTATCATTTTACAGCACTCAAGGTTTCCAACATAGAAGGAAGCCCACCCACATAGCTATCATTTTACAGCACTCAAGGTTTCCAACATGGAAAGAAACCCACTAACATAGCTATCATTTTACAGCACTGAAGGTTTTCAACATAGAAGGAAACCCACTAACATAGCTATTGACCAAAGTTAGCAATACCTAACATAGCTACTGTCCTCAAAAAAGAACGATCAAAAAAGGGAGCAGGGAAATCATTTTTTGCGAAGTGGCAGGTACTGTGGGTGGTCAAAAAAACGATCAAAACTAACCTGGAAAATACGTATGTTTTATGTAAGTTTTTGGTGTCGACGCTGTTAAGGGGCCGTGTGCTGTCTCCATTTTTTTGGCTTTGTGTGTTCTTCTTGTCATTGTGATTGTGAACCGGGTGGGGGGGGGTGGGGGGGGGGTTAGGGGGGATGTTAACGTTCTTTGCGACTGCAAGGTTCTCTTGCACTTCCACACATACGTCATGCTACGCTACTGCTAGTTTCTCTTGCACATTCACACATACGTCATGCTACACTACTGCTAGGTTTCTCTTGCTCATTCACACATACATCATGCTACGCTACTGCTAGGTTTCTCTTGCACTTCCACACATACGTCATGCGACGCTACTGCTAGGTTTCTTTTGCACTTCCACACATACGTTATGCTACGCTACTGCTAGTTTCTCTTGCACATTCACACATACGTCATGCTACGCTACTGCTAGGTTTCTCTTGCACATTCACACATACGTCATGCTACGCTACTGCTAGGTTTCTCTTGCACTTCCACACATACGTCATGCGACGCTACTGCTAGGTTTCTCTTGCACTTCCACACATACGTTATGCTACGCTACTGCTAGTTTCTCTTGCACATTCACACATACGTCATGCTACGCTACTGCTAGTTTCTCTTGCACTTCCACACATACGTCATGCGACGCTACTGCTAGGTTTCTCTTACGTCAATATTCATGTCACACAAAGTTTCGGAAAACAAGGGTTGTCATTAAAAAATGCAATTTTATGAGGTAAAACGCTCAAAAATCAATATTTTCGGTGAACACTACGTGGTTTTAAGCTCAATGAAAACACCATGATATGATGAAAATGCTGAAAAACCCTCACGAAATTGAAATTGAACACTTATGATGGAATTTCGATCTTACACCACTGCACGGCCTCTTATCAACGCCGTTACCAAGTTTTTAAGGGACGTTAGTTTACAAGAGTGTAGCCCATGAGCAACCTCAGATCTTCAATAATATGTTTGTTGGTGGGGTCTTCTATTGTGTCCAACTTTCTCTTGGGTGTTTTTTTTCATACAGCCCTTTATCCCTTTCTTTGGTAAAACTATTGTAACTTACTTAACTTTCTTCTTGAATCCTCCAAATGCCAAACTCCACAAAATATTAAAAAGAGAATCCTTATTAAAACTTAAAACCATTTTTAATTTAAAAAACACCCCCAAACATACCCAAACATTTTTTCAAGGGGGTAGCCCATGATGAGTTGCTCAGATCTTCAATTGTGCGTTTGTTGGGGGTGTACTGTATTGTGTTCAACTGTTCTTTCTTGGGTAAACATGTTCCGAAATCATTTTATCCTTTCCTTTGCTGTCGCTTTTCTCTCTTAGTTCCAGTCTCCTGGCATCCTATCCTGGTGTTTCTATGGGGTTTTTATTGGATTTTTTTTAATGGGATTTCTATATAATTTCTATGGTGTTATGGGGTTCCTATGGGATTTCAGCTGGATTTCTATGTGGTTTCTATGAGATTTCTACCGCATTTCTATGGTGTTGCTATGGGATTCCTATGGGATTTCTATGGGATTTCTTTGGGGGTTCTAAGAGATTTCAATGATATTTCAAAGAAGTTTCGATCTAGATTGACACGCATTGAAAATCTTACTTATCCTTAGATTTCTTTTGGGTATAAAGGGAAATGATTTGAAAGTAAATTGATATGAATTGAAATCCTTACTTATCAATAGATGTTCTTTTGGGCTTGAAAGGAAAATCAATTGAAGGTACATGGATATCTATCGAAGTCCTTATCCTTACATTTAGGCTTAAAAATAAAACCAGCTGAAAATAGATGGATATCTATGGAAGCTCTTACTTATCCTTGCATTTCTTTGGTGTTAATGGAAAATGAATTGAACATAGATGGATATCTATGGACGTCCCTACTTATCCTTAGATTAGGTTTAAAAGGAAAATCAATCAAATTTGAAAGTAGATTGGCATCAATTGAAATCCTTACTCATCCTTAGATTTCTTTAGGTGTTAAAACGAAAATCAGCTGAAAGCAAATTAATATCAGTTGAAACCCGTTCTTATCAATGGATTTCGTTAAGGTTTAAAAGGAAAATCAATCGAAAGTAAATTGATATCAATTAAACTACTTCCTTATGCTTCCTTACCATGATCCAAACTATTCCAAACCTGGTCCCTCAAAATCTACCAGCCTAAAGAACCCCCCTGATTTTTGTTTCGGGGAGGGCCCACACTAATCAAATCTAATCAAGATCCTCCCCATTACTCCGCATTACCTCGCCTTGGGAGACTCCATGATTCTAGTGGGATCCATAGGATATCCCCAGTGAAAAATCAGTGTCGATCATCAGCCCCAATAGTGGATCCTTATGGTGATAAGTCCCTATAAAAATCACCCAGTAGGATAAATCACCATTTCTCACCTATTACAATTATTATATATATATAATATATATATTATTATATATTATTATGATTTATTATGACGTCCTTCGAAACACTTCTTCATTCTTTCACTAGATGCCTAAGCTGAATCGCTGCTCAAAACTGAGGGGAGCCAAACCCTATGGCTATCCCCCTTGAAAAAGTTACCATGCTCCGATATGCTCTGTGACTCTTGAATGAGACACTCTCCACGTGAAACAAATAATTAGGACACAATATTATCTGCATGGTTTTTTGATTATGTAGATGATTATGTAGATGATTGTTGATGATTATTGATGTTACAAGATATAAATATCATATCTAATCATCAATGAATTATGTGCTTCCCCGGTGAAAATCAAGGGACCCCCTGTGAATCCTCCGAACGAACGTACCGCCAAGCAGCAACACCACCGATGCTCAAGGACGCCGAGACCTCTGACTTCACTTTGGTTCCAGCCTTCGCCTAGTGGAGGTGGAAAACTCATAGACCTGCTCAAAATGATTGCAGATTGGATCAGATTGCTTTCTTCAAGCCAGAAATCATGGCTTTTTGGAGGCGATGCACTGGGGGTATCATGGGATTTTGAGGGATCTTGCTACAGCAAGAATTTCACCAGCTAATCGAAGTGGCTTCTGGGGCTGGAATGTTTTGAACCGCTGGCGTGCCAGTTTCTCCAGATTTCTTCCGTGTGGTAAAGCCAGTAGCAACCCAATAACCCAGAAACAAACCGACCATCCCCATTTTTCAACAGAAATGGGTGGTGTGAAACCCTTCCCAAACTGGAGTTTTCAGGCGGGTAGATACTTCGCATCCTTGTGAGGGCATCACGGTCAAAGCCTCCTCCTTTATTAAGCGAAAACTGGACCATAGCCAGAGTTTTCCGGCATATCCTTGGGTCATTTCAGAGCTGGGGAAAATGGTCCATTTGGATCCATTCAGTTAGAACAGCCATTTTTGCAACCTGACTGCAGCCCACAGGAAGTGGCCTGAGGATCAAATTCCTGAGACGCGGCAGACTCTGCCATGACTTGGGGTGGAAGACTACTTTCCTCTCGAAATCTGATGATTCTCAGGGTCTATCTTAGTTAGGGGATTGGTATGTCGATGCAGACTGGTGCAGACTCATGTAGACATATCTACATGTTTGCCCCGAGAATCATCCATAGATTGCCATAGATACATTCATGTGTGAATACAACAGAGTAAGCACTTGCACAAATACAAGTATACAAACAGAGATTTGCGACTCGATTAGCAATTAGCATGTCATACATGAGCATTGACGTATAGATGGATGGATGCAAACATATACTGTACTGCGCCTAGAATGAACGGTTTAACAAATATTGACAATGTATATACATCTAGTTTTATGATCACTCATTTACGCAAATACAGAATGTCGAGCCAGATTGCCTCCATATCGCTATATGTGATACCACCCAATATTATGATAAATACGTACATAAATAATATGAAGGTATGCGGTGCATAGAATATACAACAATCAACAATTATTTTGTAACGTGATATGTATTCGACTCAAAAATACCATGACTCTTGGGGGGTTGAGCCACGCCATGAACAAAATGCGAAAGTCATTGGGGATCATCATCCATCACCATCCAATTTCCATGGTTGAAAAAATGTTGAGAATAAAAAATGTAGTCGAAACCACTAACCATATGAATATATCATGATATATATATATATATAATTACATGGGTAAATCACTAACCTGAATTAAGGCCATTCGGGGATGATTTCCCTTATTAACCATGATTCCAGTGAGGTCGCAGTGAGGTCGCAGTGAGGTCGCAGTGAGGTCGTTATAATTTCATTAGTTGTGAGATGTAAAGCATAGATACTCAAAAAGGTTCACTCTATCCAGGCTCACATCCGCATGGCTTTTTCTTCCCAAACTCTTCGTGCGGTCTCATCCTGCTCCTCGCAGGATAGTGCTTTGGAACGCTGTGCAGGTAGTCTCCTGCACAGCAGCACTGGTTGGATCCGTACACCCTGTTCCGCACTCCTGTAAACTCAGGAGGCTGCACAGGTTGAATCTCTCCCGCCCAGTGCTACAGTCGTGGAACTCCACGTAGAGATCAACATCCTCAATGATGTGATCCCCTACAAGGGAGGATACTCCACCGGAGTCCTACCTCATAGGGAGGGAAGGGAGGGAAAAGAAAGAACGATGAAGCCAGCTTGGCTCAGACTTGAGCCAAAATGGATTCATCAGCTTACATACTCACCCTAATGATAATGCACACCCAGTGCCTGCCAAACACGATGCATACATACATTAGTTGTGAGATGTAAAGCATAGATACTCAAAAAGGTTCACTCTATCCAGGCTCACATCCGCATGGCTTTTTCTTCCCAAACTCTTCGTGCGGTCTCAACCTGCTCCTCGCAGGATAGTGCTTTGGAACGCTGTGCAGGTAGTCTCCTGCACAGCAGCACTGGTTGGATCCGTACACCCTGTTCCGCACTCCTGTAAACTCAGGAGGCTGCACAGGTTGAATCTCTCCCAATGCACTTCTATCCCAAAGCACTCAGAGAAACTCCACAACCCGGAGAAACGCGGGAAGTGGTAGAGACCAAATCTCGAAGGGGAAAAATGCAAAATGCGTGGTGAACCCATGGCGTTTGTGCCATGTTGCCTGAAGGCCCTCACGGCTGATCTCATCTGACCAGTTGGCCTTACTAGGGATCCACTCCCAGAAAAACCAAGCTTTAAGACCAAAAAGGGTAATATGGATCAACCGAGACATATGCTCTAAATCTGCATTGTCAGAACGACCTCGAATCAAAGCCATGAGCGCTGCTGTGTTGTCGATGAACCAGAGACCTCCTCTGCCCCGAAACCTGGACGGCCTCGAAAACAAAGCATAGAGAACCTGCAGCAGCTCTAACTGGGCAATCTTCTTGTCACCCGGCTCCCATAGGCTGTACACCAATGGAGGAATGAGAGACACAAATGCCTCTCGCTGTTGCCGGTGATCGTCATGCCACACCACCAGGAAGCCCCCTGTACCCTGACCTGGGCTCTCCAATGCAGCATCAGATGCAGCAAGGAAGCGGAGCCCTGCATGTGGCCAGATCTCGATGTGTCGAGAGGGACGGGTGTTGATGACGGTGCGCAAAAGGTTGAAACATTGGCGCAACTCCTCAGTCAACTCTGCGGAGCGCTCCTGCTGTCTGCGCTTGATGGGGGCCAGGCCACCGCAGCCAATGCGCCCCCACACGCCAAGCTCAAAGAAGTTGGCGATGCCGTAGATCTTGGCAGCCACCCCTGGTTGCAGCTTACCGGAATCCTCGGCAGTCTGCATGAGGTGAAGCAACTTGGTCTCAATGCGCTCACGGGCCCAAAACTGAACCAGACCCTTCGAATGAACTTGACTGAAATCATGATCAAGGCCCAGGAAGGTGCCAGTACTCTGCATCTTCTGACATTTCTCCTCTGAAAAAGGAGTACCCAAAAGGGTGTTGAGGGTCTGCATCGCCCTTTGACCTGATCCTCTGCAGGATTTGCGGTCTGTCACGTGAGCATCATCAAAATACAAGCTCGTCAAACAGAAGGCAAATCGACGTGATAAAGCCTCCACAAAACGACTGTATCGATTGAAAGATGTGACCGCAAGAGGAAGACCAAAAAGCAAACCAGTATAAATCATAAAGGCTGGTTGTTGCCATTCATGATGGAAGAAGGCCACAATGCAGCACAAAGCCTCATCCCAACTCATAGGGCAGAAACGATAGGCATCTGGCCAATCCTCACCACCTGACTCCCATTCTTCCGCCTCCCAGCTGGGGGGCCTCCCGTAGGCATAGGCATACTGCAGGTGCTGAGCCGGCCGCAGCGCTGAGCAAAGGGTGAGCTTGTTCGCATCACTGGATCGCTCAGATTGCAAGCCGACATAGGCGTCGTCAATCACTCTTTGCTTCCCAGATGATTGTGTGATGACGCATCGGGGGATCAACCGGTAGGGTTCCGTACCCAGACAATGATGCAGCTCCTCTGCAGTCATGCTCTTGGACAGCTCCCTGCTGATCCTAGAGAGTGTGGCATCAGCTGGATGGATCTCTGGTGGGAATCTCATACGACACCTGACCCAGAAGTTGGATTTGACATCACGCAATTCCGTATCAGCCAGCATCGTATCCAGATCGCTGATACTGATCTTGGACCTATCCTGGTCCTGGTTCTTGTAGTACAAGGTCACTGCAGTCCAGGCTCTGCGCAACCTGGATCCTTGGATCAACCTCTCATCGCCGAGTTGCAACTTGGCCAAGAACGTGTCGACTTTCGACTCATCCTCAAAGAGGATCCGAAACTCCTCGAGGTTCTGAATCTTGGTGGCCAACAACGCCTTGGTCACAACGGGGTCCAACGAAAAATTTAGCCCTAGAGACTCCATGGTTTCCTGAATGGTGGTACTCTCCACCGGAACCAATCGAACACTAGTCATTTTCTCAAGGTAACTCCTTATATGACTTGAACATTCAAAGCTGCTCACCCCCAAAAATGCCTCCCGCATGCTGCACATCACCTGCCATCCAGGGACAGAAGGAGGTGACAGGGGGGGGTAAGACAAGAACTCCCCTGTTCCTCAGGGGTAAGACAGACTGCAATCCTAGTCCATATCCCCGGTGCACATCATGTAGCTTGTACTCACAGATACCTGTGTAAGCCACCTCATGGCATACCGGTAAGACTAACTAGCACAGCCTGTCATGACCTCATCCTCCCGGATGTTGATAAGGGCTATTTTCCACGCAGAAGTCAAACTCTCAAATGGTTCAGATGCATGTTGGCCTACGGGCAAGCTATGGACCACGTTGATCAGCCTACCAAAATCGGCCCTGTGCTTCTCTTATTCAAATGAATTCTGGTGCGCCACTCCTGACAAGGTCAGCGTGGATGCCAGCTCGCTGCTGCTCGCACCAAACAACCATCGCAAAAAGCGCGGCCCCAAGCCATAGCCTCCCTCATGTCCTGCGTCGTCATTGGTTTCACCAAGCGGATTGCACGCTCGGCTGATTGCTTGTGGGAGCAGAGGGTCTGGCCGTTGTTGAGCTCCAGGTGGACCTTGGAACGAAGTGTCGCAATGTAGCCGCAGGGCTCTGGGAACGGGTTCCTGAGGGAGCTGGTCCTGATAGTCGTGTCTACCCACGACCTCATGCCCTCTTCATGAATGATTCCCGGAATGTCCAACGAACGCCTGCAGCTTTTGACATAGGCCACTGCGACATCCCAGCTCTCCTGGGCTAGCAGCGCTCGGAACACGCAGCCCCCAACACCTGCTCGGTGGCGCCCTGAAAGGCAGTGGATCAGGGCCGACTCGCCTGCATACATTGTATTGCGCAGCAAAGGCCAGACTTCTTCAAAGTCACTGTTCCTTGAACCACCATGGGCCACACACAGGTGCTTCAAGAGGGCATCTGTGAGCACCACTCCTCCTCTGGATGATGGGGCTTCGGCCATGCACGCAATCTGAAGGGTAACTCCCTTTGGAAAGCGATGTGCCGTGTTCCTGGTTGGGATTCCACTCAGCCACAGCTTGCCCCCTGCCCTATTTTGGTAAATAAGGCTCGGGCTCTCCGCTGTCTTGCCATGGATTGTCGCCAACCTGTCGAACTTCTGGTCGGGCCCCCGAGTATCCAGTGCCTCTGGAATCGGAAGGTCCTCCTCCTCAACTTCGACTTCTTCTTCTTCCGAACTGGTAACCAGGGCTGGCAATGGCGCTGGAGGTGGAGCTGGGGCTGCTTTGGCCTTCTTCTCTGGCGGTGCCTTAGGCGGCGGCCCTTGCGGGGACCTTGGGCGCCTCACTGACGCCCTAGGAGGGGCAGCTGGCTCAGGAGGTCGCTCCTCCGTGGATTTGCTAGTAGGCTTGGCCTTAGCAGATCCAGAACCAGGCCCTTCGCCAGGCATTTCCTCCACCTTGATGAACTTCTTGTCGTGGCATTCACAGGCAGGATGGCCACCACCACAAACTCGTCCAGCTTTGCGCAGAACAGCGCACGCATGGCGACCAGGACAAACTTCCTTCTCCAAGGGGCAGGACCTTGTCTGAAAGGCTCCACAAATGGGCGCCCCGTTCTTCATGAATGCGCTCAGCACCTTCCCGTTGAGGGATGCTGGCATCGCAGACAGGCCACCCTTAGCTTGTGCCTCCTCTCTTTTGGCAGCAGCTTTGAGCTTAAGGGCCTCAGAAAGCTGGAAACGCGCCTGCATCTCCGCCTTCGTCAAAGGAGCTGCCCAAATGACCCTGGACTCCTGCTTCAGCACCTTGTCAACGGTCTGGCGTGCATACTCCAGGGCCTCAGCGTAAGTCTCTGTTGGGATGGTTTCCCATGACTCATAGGCAAGCAGCTTCTCCATAGCCAGCCGCACAATGTGCTTGGTCCTCAATGAAGACTCATACCTGGCAGCACTGTAGTGCATAGGCATTGCCGCCTCTTTCGGGATCTGGGAACGATCTGCCCAGTCCCCCAGCGAGCACAGCTCCAGAGGCGTCAGCTTCATCAGAGTGCCCACTGTAGGTGCAGCTCGCCGCCAGGAATAGGAAGACAAATCCTCTGTGTTCTGGACCAAGTGCTCAAAGACTTCACGATTGAGCTCATTGACGAACTTCAACGTGTATGCGGTGCCCTCCGCATCGAAGCATAACCCCGAAGTGGCTTGCTTAGCCTTGTCCAGACTGCTATAGTCCCTGAATAAGGCTGAGCCCCAAGCCCATCCATTGACGAATGTGGCCGGGATGCTGAAGGAGAACCCGCCCCTGTTGGCCTTCTGCTTACCCTTTGTGCAGTAGCCATGAAAGGAGCTGGGGGTCACTTTGACCGGTCTGGCACGCATGATGTGCTGGTACCGCAGGACACCAAAGGTGACCAGCCAGCTGGAAAGTAAACCCCTCCAACGCGGGTCTTCTGCTTCATACAACGATTGAATCCTCTCTTCAAGCGCTGCAATCATTGGGGGCTCAACTGCAACAGCCTGTTCTGGGTTTGCCTGTTTGGGTGGATTCTTGCGAGCTGGGACTGGTACATCACTGAAATCCCATTGCAACCGACCATGTTTGGAGAACCACTTCAAGGAATGAAAGGCTCGGTAAGGTCCAGACGTGCCGTTCTGCAAGAAGCCATAGAGGTCTAATGCATCCGGTGGGAACAGGCGGTCCTTCTGCTCCATGTAGGCCCGCAACTCAGCCCAGGACTTCAGGGCGTTCACCACCGTTGCTCCTTCAGCCTCAGTCACCTTCCGCTTGGCCAGAGTGTCCAGAGCGTCTTGCCACTGGGAATACCTCTCAGGGGTCAACTCCCCTTGAGGACGCATCACCTTGGCTTGAGAAAAGGCCTTCCTCAATGCCTCAGCGCGCAGCAGCACATGTTCTGGTTGGTCTGGACCTGGCCGGACTCGGAGAGCTTGGACCATCTTGCTCTTCTTCATCATGGACGCCTTGGGCGTTGGCCATGTTGCTGGCCGGTCTCTGGAGCCCGAGCTTTCAGCCACTGCAGCAGCTTGAGGGATGAGGTCTGCTTCGACGGACTTGGAGCGCGCTTGCAACCACGCATCTGCCACATGGTGTCCTCCATGTGCCACTGCGCTGTCATAGGATGCAAACGCATATGCGAAGTCGGTCTCATCATGTAGGCCCCATTGAGATCGCCATTGTTCGACACGGGTGGCAGCCACCCTCTCCATTGCCGTCTCTGCACAAGGTGGAGCCTCACCAGCAGCCTGCACCGCATAGGCTCCTGGGTGGTACGCCATGGCGACCCCTGACACCACCGCAGCCAAGGTTTGGAGCGTACGTGCTGGGCCTGAAACTGCAGACCAAACCTCAGTATCATCAGGTAACAAACACACATCACTAGGCCGCAGCTGCTGCAGATGGGTCTCGACGCAAGACGGGGTGACATCCTGGACATTGGGAGGGTGGACAGGTGCTGCACACTGAGGAGAAACAGCGCTCACAGAGCTCAGGTGTCGGCAGTCCACAAGCCTTGCAAGGTGGCAAGGGTTCCTCCCCAGCCTCCATGGCGCCGAGCCAACCCCATAAAGACCGAACTGCTCTGGCCCGTGGTGCTCTCCACGCAACCAGGTCAGCCGGTATGGGCACCATGGATGGGTCTCTCCATCCTCGACGTGGGGACTGCCAGGTCCTCCAAGCGTCCCACAATTCGGTGAGGTCAACCATACTCTCGGCATTGTGCTCGATGAAGGCGACCAAGCCAAAGATGTTGTCTGGCGCAAAATCCCGTGCTGTCCAATGAGTCCGCAGCGGTTCGATGAGTAGCAAATCCAGCTTCGCCTCGCCCAGGCGATCATAGTAGGATTGCCACGCAAGCCGCGGGTCACTCCCGGGCAGAGCCAAGACAGCTGAGCTGTTCCATGTGCCAATCCAAGGGAACTTGAATCCTCCCTGATATTCATTGCACCTCCTACAGTTCTTCCATGCAAGGTGATCTTCTGAATGGGGGAAGTCCCTGCACCCCCAACCCAATTGGATGAGGGGGGAAGTGATCAATTTGGCACACAGATGCCCACAACCGGGTGGCCTGGGCCACCAAGCCCCGTTGGAGCAAGCCCTCCACGTGCGTCTTGAACTCGTAGTAGGCAGCAGCGTGAAGAAGCTCCACATCTGTGTGGGCAGCCTCATTCCAACCGGGCCGGACGACGACGGAGGCCCTTGGCATCGAGGGGTGACCTCCCACCTTCGTAACCTCCGTACTCTAGGGTAACGCCCTAGTAGAGGAACGAAAAACCACTAAACCTAGGGTAACTCCCTAGAAGTGGCGTGGGTACCCCAGCAAAAAGAAAGAACGATGAAGCCAGTTTGGCTCAGACGTGAGCCAAAATGGATTCATCAGCTTACATACTCACCCTAATGATAATGCACACCCAGTGCCTGCCAAACACGATGCATATATAACCCAGTATTATAATATATGTATGTGTAATATCAAAATATGTTAAAGTAAATCCCAGGCCCTGATATTAAAACACCCCATAAATGGTCCCAAATATATGTAAATCCCCCTACTAAACCATGGTTTCATGGTGGGGGGAAGGAGTGATAATGACACCTTGAAAAAACAACCAGATGAATATCTTATAGCATATATATAACCCAACAAAACCATTTGCAGTATATCTATGCATGATTAACACACCAGCCCAAGCCAGATCGCTACCTCCACGACCACCTGCACTGCATCTGCCTGGCGAAGCCAGTTTGATGCTGAAAATGGCGGAGAAATTCCGAGTCAATAGCCTCTGGTAAACTAACATAATAGCTATGTAAAATTCACCATTTTAACAGGTAAATCAACTCTCATTTTCAATAGCTATGTTAAATTACCGGAGGGTATAAATTTTCCATATCACTTTCGATCCTTCGGTGGATGTTTGTTGGTGGTTTCAAGCCATGAGACAATATGAAATGGAGCTGGAGTAAGCCACGGGTATATCAGGAAAAACTGGGACTATTATACAACTATGATTTGTACAACAAACCATGCTACATATGCTACCCAATTACATGAGTTGGGGAATGACATGGGGATAGGAAGCCTCGAAGCCTCAATGGTGAGCAACTCGTCCAAACCATCCGCGCCATCCATTGATGACGGCACTCATCTTCGTGTTAGAAAAACGACATGTGACAGGGGGTGATGATTCATGAAATCCCGATGCTTTTTGTGGAACTAAAGACCCTCTGCTAAATTTAATGTAGCGGCTGGCGAATGGCCTGCTGAGTTCAGGGATTTGCCTGTTGATGGCAAACTGTTATAGTCATGGGAAAACACCATTTTAAGTAGGAAAAGCGTCCATAAATGGGCCACTGTCCATGGCAAACTGTTACAGTAGCCATTGCCAGGGGGTAAACCACATCACCAGACATCCCCACACCTCAGCCATGGTCAACTGAACCTTGGCGTGACGGGAACAGTACCCTCTAAGAAAATCTAAGAAATGGATACGAAGTGATTGGTGGTTTCAACTCATCTTCAAAAAAACAACGATATATTGGTAAATTGGGATCATCATCCTGAGTAGGGTTGCAAATTTTAAAAACTGAAACCACCAGCCAGTACTTGGGGTGAATGTGAAACAAATTTGATACAATCTGTGGGTCCCCAGAGTCTGGAATATTGACATATCTCGACCGCTCAATTACTGAATTTTCAAAGCTGTATAGAGCTTTCGCTCCGAGGAACCCTGAATCATTGAAAGGTGTCTCCCCTGACGGCGCCATAGCTTCCAAATATCCCGTGAAATCACTTTTTGGTCCTACGTATCTTCACTGCCTCTAACAAAGACAGACCCAAGAGCCTTGTGACCCGCTCCTGTTGCCCTGTAAAGTTGCAACAAACGGACCTTTCTAATTTATGGTGCTCTTGAACTTCTTTGCGCCAACCTGAAGCAACTTGAAACATCCAGGAATTGACTATGTTGCTGGTGGTTGAACCCCTGAAAAATTCATCCCGTCATTGGGGATCATCATCCCAGTTCTATGCTTCAAAATATAAAGACTATAACTTGGTAAAGCCATGTAAAGCCTATAAATCATCCCACAGTCCCAAAATCACCATTTTCATGGGTGGTTTTTCAGCCATTCCCTTACATCCCTTACTCCCGGCCTTGCCAGCTCGGAGCCCGCAGTGAATCCCGTTACGGTGCCCTCAAAAAATGTCCCGGGCCATAGTGAATCATGTTCTTATGTATCGATGATATTATATATATATACAGTATATATATATACAGTATATATATATAGTATCTAGAGATCCTTGAGCTGCCTTGCTGTCCTGTCCCTAGCTTCATTTCCGAGTCAACGAAGTGTCTGCTATGCACGCAACGTTTTGATGCGTACACTGGTAGCCATCAGGTCCAACAGGTAGGGATTCTTGAAAACTACAGCAGGTATACCTGAACACCCCCGAAACTCTAGGTATACCAACAAATCTAGTGATAGTGGTATACCCTGTGCCAATAAATTGGTATATCATGGTATATCTGATACTCAGGTTGCCCAATAGTTTGGACAGTGATCTCTAGGGCTCTAGGGTGAACCAAAATATGTGCGATGACCGTGTCAGAAAGCCGCGCTTGCGGTGTCATCACTCCCTTTTCCACCGTCGCCCACCCAACTCCAGTGAAAACACGAAGACCTTGTCACTCAAAGGGCCCCAGTGCCTGCTATGTACAAGTTGTGAAACTCACCTAGCCACAGAAATGAGTCGCCTAGCCACAGACCCTGGCAGTGTTTGGACTCGGACTGGATCATGGTTTCCATCCGATGGTCTTCTCAAAAGTGTGAACCATTTTTCGGTCCAATCCATGATCCAAACTTCATCGCTCTCACTGGAAAGTGCCTCGGGACTTGGTGTCTTCAGCACCTCAAATGGCGCATTGGTTTTGGCGCTACATCAACATACCAACATGTTGATGGTGCATGATGGTGCTATCTGGAATTTGGTTGTTGTACCTAGGCTTCAGGGAGGTTGCTACAGTATCCTTTTAAACTTGGATATAAAGATGATTGAATGGGTTTGTCTGAAAAAAAGGTGCCTCACAATCAATGGTTTATCATAATGTTCGCCATTCACATCAATATATGATGGGGTATCCTGGTATCCTCCATTGTCAAACAGACCCAAATGAAATCAACTTGTTGTTTTTCTTTCAACCAAGTACCATTTAGTCGGCAACCACAGTTTTTCTTGGCTGAATCAGCACTTTCGATTGGTTGAGTGGAACCCATTGTTTAGCGGGTGATATCCCCACTTTGGGGCGCTCAGTTTCAGAAACACCCGTTTATACTGATCAAGTTTTGCAAGATAGATCACCATCTTTCCACAACAAATCACCATGTTGGCAGGATAAATCACCATTTTTCCAGGATAAATCACATTTGTTCCAGGATAAATCATCATTTTTGCAAGATAAATGACCATTTTCGCTAGGACAAATCCATCCGGCTGAGTTTTCAGCTGGTTTCCTCCAGCTTCGCAGCTTCCGCGGGCGCGGAAAGGGACGGAGCCGGCACCGCCGAGGGGGGTGGTGCTGCAGGCGCCTGGTGGGGAGGGGAACTTGAGATGGATATGATCCTAGATATCATTATATAAGTGGTATATATATATGTATATATATATATACGTATTTGTAGTAAGTACTATATATCATTATACAAAATTAGTTGTATATCATTGTATATAATATACGTATTTGTAGTAAGTACTATATATCATTATACAAAATTAGTTGTATATCATTGTATAAAATATACGTATTTGTAGTAAGTACTATATATCATCATATAAAATTACTTATATATCATTGTATATAATATACGTATTTGCAGTAAGTACTATATATCACTATACAAAATTAGTTGTATATCATTGTATCTAATATACGTATTTGTAGTAAGTACTATATATCATTATACAAAATTAGTTGTATATCATTGTATATACTATACATATTTGTAGAAAGTACTATATATCATTATATAAAATTACGGATATATCATTGTATATAATATACGTATTTGTAGTAAGTACTATATATCATTATACAAAATTAGTTGTATATCATTGTATATACTATACGTATTTGTAGTAAGTACTATATATCATTATACAAAATTAGTTGTATATCATTGTATATACTATACGTATTTGTAGTAAGTACTATATATCATTATACAAAATTAGTTGTATATCATTGTATATACTATACGTATTTGTAGTAAGTACTATATATCATTATACAAAATTAGTTGTATATCATTGTATAAAATATACGTATTTGTAGTAAGTACTATATATCATTATACAAAATTAGTTTTATATCATTGTATATAATATACGTATTTGTAGTAAGTACTATATATCATTATACAAAATTAGTTGTATATCATTGTATAAAATATACGTATTTGTAGTAAGTACTATATATCATTATACAAAATTAGTTTTATATCATTGTATATAATATACGTATTTGTAGTAAGTACTATATATCATTATACAAAATTAGTTGTATATCATTGTATAAAATATACGTATTTGTAGTAAGTACTATATATCATTAATTATACAAAATTAGTTGTATATCATTGTATATAATATACATATTTGTAGTAAGTACTATATATCATTATACAAAATTAGTTGTATATCATTGTATATAATATACATATTTGTAGTAAGTACTATATATCATTATACAAAATTAGTTGTATATCATTGTATAAAAAATACGTATTTGTAGTAAGTACTATATATCATTAATTATACAAAATTAGCTGTATATCATTGTATATAATATACGTATTTGTAGTAAGTACTATATATCATTATACAAAATTAGTTGTATATCATTGTATATAATATACATATTTGTAGTAAGTACTATATATCATTATACAAAATTAGTTGTATATCATTGTATATAATATACATATTTGTAGTAAGTACTATATATCATTAATTATACAAAATTAGTTTTCTATCATTGTATATAATATACGTATTTGTAGTAACTACTATATATCATTAATTATACAAAATTAGTTTTATATCATTGTATATAATATACGTATTTGTAGTAAGTACTATATATCATTATACAAAATTAGTTGTATATCATTGTATATAATATACGTATTTGTAGTAAGTACTATATATCATTATACAAAATTAGTTGTATATCATTGTATATAATATACATTTTTGTAGTAAGTACTATATATCATTATACAAAATTAGTTGTATATCATTGATTATCATTGTATATAATATACATATTTGTAGTAAGTACTATATATCATTATACAAAATTAGTTGTATATCATTGTATATAGTATACATATTTGTAGTAAGTACTATATATAATTAATACAAAATTAGTTGTATATCATTGTATATAATATACATATTTGTAGTAAGTACTATATATCATTATACAAAATTAGTTGTATATCATTGTATATAATATACATATTTGTAGTTAGTACTATATATCATTATACAAAATTAGTTGTATATCATTGTATATAATATACATTTTGTAGTTAGTACTATATATCATTATATAAATTTACTTATATATCATTGTATATAATATACATATTTTGTAGTTAGTACTATATATCATTATATAAAATTAGTTGTACATCAGTGTGTGTATATATATATAGAGAGAGGACATGATGATATCATTTGATACCCCAGTAATGTTTATTGGTTTAAACAAATGAAGCATATAGTTTTACACTCCATAAACCCAAACGTTAACCAAATTATAAGTCAACTTAGCTATCTAGGGGACCTCACCGCGCAGTATATAAATATATATATATGGGATATAATGATGTAGTGGACTATTCATGCGTGTTTTTCGTTGGATATATATATATGGGGGTTGTCCAAAATTATGGTACCCGAAAACTGCCCTTACGCCGCGCTTTCGCGAACCTTGCGCGCCCTTTCGCGCCCCAGCAGAATCGGGACATAAGATTATGATCGGGTTTTCGTTTATTTGTAGGTTTATAAATAGTGGTATTCAGACCTGTCGCGAACCTTATGCCGCCCTTTCGCGGCCTTTCAACACTGCAGCAAAACATACACATCCATATCTGCAGATGTCACTCGGATACTAAAAGCCTTGCATGGGTTTTAGGACGATTCCCCCATATATATATATATACATATCATCTAATTGTCAAATACCTATCATCAAGTACCTATCACATCCTATCACTTTTCACTGTGGATATACTGACTGGATCTTTGTTGATTTGTTCGTGGTACTTGATGGATAGGCCAGGTATTTGATTAATATGATGATATTTGAGATTATTTGGGTTTGGAACCTGGGATGTCACTGGGAATTGCAGCCAACATGGAGAT